AAGATAAAGGTTCAGAATTTGCAAGGTATGCAAATTCTTGTTCATCTTATTTATATCTTATAGTGTATCATTAAAATTGTTTCAATATCTGGTTATTTTTATTTTTTTCTCACTTTTATACGAAATTTCTCCAATAAAATGAACTGTATCTGATCACCGTCAAGTTTTCATGTCAAAAGCACTGCTAAATTTTATCTGGTTAATGATCATTTAGTAAAACGATATTTTTTTGGTTCATATTTTATATTTTTCGGAATCGGAAAAGAAGTTGTTTTTCATGGTTTCTATTCATGGTTTAATCAGTGTGATGCTCATTGAAATTTACATAGATTAGATTTAGATTTGTTTGTTTGGTTGATTACATTACTAATAGGTAAACAAACAAATTTAAATAGTTATGAAACTTATCATGCTGAATTGTGATTTTAAAGGAGCCATATCATTTATTAGTCTTTCGACTTGCCGAACAGTGATCGACCAATTTTATGGAGTGTTATTAATTATTAATTATTATTTCATTATAAGATTTTATTATGAAATTTCGTTCGTTGGATTCTAAGTTTCATTCTGGCTTCATAAATGATGGAATTTGAATTGCTTGTCATCAAAAAATCGTTTCGGTCCTATCATGTTCTGTGCCTAGTAACTTTGTTTCTTGTGTAAAATCCGTGTAATGCTCTGTCTTATGCTATAATATTCTTGCGTAATTTTCATTTTAAAGATTGTCTTAATCATTTATACATTTTCATTTTTGGACGATTCATTTATTTGCCAAAAAATTGTTTCGCGTTATTCTCATAATTTATCGACGAATTATTAATTATATTGTTCGATATTATTCGTTTCGTTTGCGGACCTGTACCTGTTAAATAAATATCGCTAAGCGAATTGACCATCCTTGACTACCATTGTAAGTTGTTTTGCAGTGGTGTACTTTGTTTTCATTCTCTAGAAGCAGTGGGTCTTCTTCTTCTAACAGCTCTCACCATTACTGGTTAGGCTGGCTTCACTGGCTACAAGGATAAGGCGCCTCCAAGGTGCGCGATCTGATGCCATCTTCGACGGTAATAGAAGCCATTCCTTTTTTCATCGTCTAAATCATTATTTTCCTAGTCCAACTATTCGTTCAAAATTTTTCCTGTCTGTATCAGTCCCGTAACAAAAGCAGTGGGTGTAAAATAAAATTTTATAATTATATTGCGAACTTACCTTATGGTTATTTGCCAGTTGCAATTGATTGTGCGATCAATATTGAAGAGGATTTGATTTGAAAAAATAAACAAATGATAGGAAATAAAAATATGTGGAATGTGGAATAAGATGGTAAAAATAGTTAGCATGAGGTGATATGATAAGGATGATCATCACTACCTGACAGTATTAGATTTAAAAACCACCCTAATATTGTACAGGTATGATGATATTCCATACATAAATAGTGAATAGAAGCCGAATGAATCGTTCGACAAAGCCTTGAGCACTGCCGATTCCCGTTGCTTTTGCCTTCGTTTATAATTATTAGCACGAATGCATAATTTATAAGGCACATTTATTGTTATAAATTCCGTACCAAGGATGGTTTTTCGAATTCTTTTTTTTAAGGAACTGTCAATGCTTAGAGTTAAAAAAAGAATTAGGAAAAATCGCTGTTTATGGTTACTGATTTTATAGGGTTTTTCTTTTGCTTCAACCGCATGTTTCATTACCATTGATTACCATTCATTACCATTCTAAAGGCTCTAAGAATTAAAAAGTCGATCAATTTAGGACGAAAAAGGACAAATAGAATATGTGAAAATAGAACTGTAGGCAAATAATTTTGAATAACCCGAGATCACGTCGATATACATTCTAACAGTAAGTGGCTGGTGAGGTTTGGTTTGTTTAATTTACCAATATGATTGTTTGGACAGTAGTCAGTTTATGCGATTTTCATATAGCTGACCTTTGTCAATTGTTATTTTAACACGGAATGGGTTTAGATACGAAATTGATCTTTGGAAATATGGGAGAAAATTAAGGCGGTAGTTTCCTTTTCACTAAAATTTTTTGAGATATTTTTTCAACATTATTTCTGGTTTGACTGGCTATACTGAGGTATAACCTCTTGAGAGTCACTTAGAGATGGGAGAACAGATTGATCCCTAGCACCACTCAGATTTGACATTCAACGACAATTTTCACTCCGTCGAACTGAGCAGCCGAGCTATGATGCTCGAGGCTAAAAAATGTTTTTTCATGACTTCAATTTTTTTTTTTGCAGAAAAATATCTTGAGATTTTTTATGTTTTAAAAAATCTCAAAAAGGCTAATTTATTGCAAACAATACGAAAAAACTTTTTCAAGAGCGAAGTTTTCATTTTCCCAAAAAGCGAAAAGAAAAATCCTCGAAAAAAAATGGCGAACGGGCTTAATTCGATTTTGATGCAGAAGAGCTGTGTGGCCTATTTTAAAAAATTTGACGAACAGTAGCGAGCGATTGAGAAAAATTTCGTCAAATGCCCATGTCAAAATTTGGCTAAAATACTGTTTTCAGCTTTTTTCTTTTACCGATTTTGTTAAAGTTTATAGAAACCGTTTATTTTCTTTGTTCTTAGAAATCTTATAAGGAAAAATCGTGTCGAAAGGTCATCAGACTCGTTCACCTGATTAACGATACAATTATTCAGAATAATAAGGACGGACGTATAAATCGACCCTTTATTTGCTTTTAATCGAGATTTCGAATTTTATCGCTGAAGCTTATTTGATTTTTTACATTATAGGGAAAGATCCCTGCATAAGAGAGAGACCGATTTGTCAATTTAATATTCCCCAGTAGCATCGTAGCTCGAAAAATTTTATAAAATAATCGAATATCCTACTATATTACTACATTACTAAATTGGCAAAAGAAATTTTCAGTGTCATATAAAATGCCACTTAATAAAATGATAAATAAAGCTGAATTGCAATATTAAACTGTTCGAACTATTTAATGAAGATTAAATTTGTTTGCTTAATTTTAGCATTAATACTTCTTATCAAATTCGTCAGATCGAACAGTGTTAGAGATTCAGTGAGGCAATACTTCTTATATCCTCAAATGACTTTTTGCCAAAAGATTTTCAGCAGATTAACTGATAACGAGTGGAATAAGCATGATTAAAAGTGGTGAGCGCTAGCCTCCTATTCAGTTAATATATTCACCACTTTTCATTCACTTCCTTGAAATTGATAATTTTTTCCGATCAAAATGAATATTTTTTTCACAAATTTCATCGATGTTCTGAATCATCAAAAAAAGCAATCGAAACGCTCTTTAAAAAAATTCTCATAAAGCATTTTCGTTCATGGACAAATAAAGAACGATTGAATTTAATCGTACCTTTAATCGTATTTTTCAGGTTCAATTCTTCAGATTTTGCACGATGTTTCTTTAATTTACTGCATAACGAAATCAAATGCCAATAAACACCAAAAAACTAATTTGTGGAATATAATTTTATGAGAAATTTTGCAAAACTCCAATTTTTGCATTAAACGAGCGAGAAAAATTAAGATAAATTAAGATAATTAAGATAAAACATAAATAACAGAAATGGTAAAACATAAGGAAGAAATGTGTTTTCTTTGAGGCTTCGAAGAAAAGCGTTCACGGCCAAATCTTATTTTTACCTTTGAATTATCTTTCATAAAATTTCTTCAGAAGAATAATTATCCGAACTCTCCAACAATATAGAATAATTCTAATAAATTTTTCTTCCACAAAATCTGTTTCACATTCAAGTTTTCTTAAAAAGTCGGTTCCAATTATTTCAATTATTGACCATTATTATATTTGTGATTTCTTACTTCTGTGTTTTAAAAGTATACTGTAGAGTGTTTTATTGAAGAAATAAAGAAATTGTTGAAGTGCAAATAATCATAAATCATTTGTTTAACTGACAATTTTTAGGGTAAAAATATAAAAATAAATACTTAACACTCTTAAAACACTTATACTTTAATAATAAGGAAAAATCGCTTCATGTAGGAGAAATAAAAAATAAAAATAGTTAAATATCTCAAAATTCGAAAAAATGCCATCGATACATTATTTATCGATATCCATCTATTACGATTACCAATGGTTGAACAACTTTGATAACATTTTTTAGTTTTTCTGAAAAGCATAAAATAAGAAATATTTTTTTTCGAAAAATTTATTAGGGAATAAATTTTTAATAATTATATGCATCCACATTATTATTGTCGACTAAAGATAGGATAGTCGAAAGGTTATTGCAGATTAGCGACTCGAGGCTTAGATTCCGACCAAGCCTCAAGTAAGAGTAGCCTGAGGTAACTTAAAAAATGCGAGTGTGCACTCATTTATACTTGTATACCACCGAATGGTCTAAAATTTCTAAACGTACTAACAAGTGGAACGAGCTTAATGCCAGGAATGATGAACGTTATCAATTCACATTTTCTCAAAAATTTTTTAGATTTTAATTTTAATTTTTTTGAATTAATTTTAAATTTAACCTCGTAATCAAATAAAGTCTTTCATGACTGATCGTTAATATCTATGATTGGTATGATTTTATCTGATTCAATATGACCTATGGTACCATTTTTTACAAATTATTTGATGAATATTAATGATTTCACATCGCGAGCTGATGAGCTGTTGCAGATTATTAGCAAAGAATAAAATAATGAGTAGTCGAAGATATCTCTGATTAAAGAGTATGTTGATAAACGGAAATGGAACATTACCTTAATGCGATAATCAATAGGAGAACCTCTTTTTAAGTTTAAAACTCTAATTCGATGGTAATAATATATAGGCATACAAATATACTTTAATATTGTCCATGGACAAAGATGTCTTAAAAGCATCTGAAAGATTTGGCAAATTGAAAAATCTCATAGATAATAGACATTTGACAAGAGGAGATTTGAGATTCAGTAACAGAGCATATCCGTGTTATTATAGTCGGAATCTGGCCATTCCAGAGACCATTATAAATTGTTTATGAATATAATCTACTAATCAGTTTCGCATTCCATAAATTCTTCGCCATACAATTTGAATCATTTTTCATTACCTGCATTTCATGATTGAAACATCCTGTGGTTTTCGTAACTATTCCGATCGTATTTATCGCCTCTTGGACGAAATCTTCAGCAGTTTTAACAAATAGTGATCCCTCCTTGTAAAAAGTCATGTTTGTAGCAACAAGAGCTGGTGTCAGGCACTGAACGTTAATTTTCGCTCGTTCTCGATTTGCTGCTTCACAGAGAAACGAAAGAAGTGACTGAAATTCAGCATTTTGAAATAAAACAGCAGTGCACTTCGGCATACATCAAAACAACATCGATAGCAGTATAAGGACGCTATTAGTTTGAGAAAATAATTAAAAAAGCAAAGAAATAAAGTAAGTGTGCTGCTCGTAACTTAACTTACCTTCGAAGCACAATAAGAAGCTAAATACGGAATAGGTCTATACCCTTGGCTAGATGATATAACAATTATTTGCCCACCGCCACATTTGTCCATTGTTGCAAGTGCAATGGAAAGGAACTAAAATTCATTAATATCTAAATTTTGTTGTGTAAAAATAAACTGACGCTATTCGACAAAAAATAAAACCTCAGCCGATCCTAAACCATTGACTTTCAAAATTTCGCGGTCAGCCGATGGATTTTCGCCATATTTTTCCATTAATTCACGTCCCACTCCAACACTGTTAACTGTAAATCTTAATATTATTCATGCTATAAGCAGAAAACATTTATTCTCAAAACTCTATTACAAATCGCATATAAAATTGTCTACTTGTACCTAAGTTAATATTCTTTTATATCCGTTTTTCCGTTTTTTCTCTTCTACGCGTTTTTATTTCCAGTTAGATAAATAAATATGCTTCAATCTAAATATCTTAAAATGTCCGAAAAAGAAAATGAATTGTGTGTATAATTTTTAATTTCAGCATGTAAATTTTTATAATAAAAACGCGTGAAAGTAGAATATTGAATTATTATAGTATATTTATTATTTTAATTAATGTTTAATTAATGTAAATAATGTTTAGAAATTCAAGATTTTAGTTTTTCTGCCTCAGAATTTAATTAATAAACAAATAAACAAATCTGAAATTTCCAACTTAACAAAAAATTTAAGTATTAATTATACAAATACTATGTTGGTTAGTCCATATGTTTTATAATCTGCCGAAGGAATTGCATCAAATCTCGTGATAAACCAAAACTAATGGCAGATTACAAGTGAAGACGCATAAGCAAGAGTCCAGATTTTGAATGCATCAACGCATTATTTACGGGCTTAGACATTGGAGAAAGAAATAGCCACAATTAATTTTTAGTATGGCGTCAGACCGGGAGCGTTTCACAGTAACCAAAAACCAACAAACCAAAAATAGCGTTAAAAGAATGAATTATTTACCAACAAAACCAACATCGATGTCTTCTATATAATTACGAAGTTGCTCGTAATTTCCAGTGGAAAAATCAAAAAGATATGTTCTTACATTTGCACCAAATTCCAGTTCTAAAATAAGGGAAATATTCTGCGATGAAGGTTGAAAAGAAGGTTGAAAAAGGAATTTTAGAAAAAGAGAGAAAGAAAAAGTACATACAATTATGCCACCAACCGAGTTTTTAAAATATTTCTGTTTCCTATTCAAATAAAACAAAAGCAGCTCTCGTTTTACATTCAGAATAGGGAAAATTTCTCAGAAATTTAAAGAGCGAATTTCGTTGTCGAAAAATTGAATACAAATGGATTAACTGGGTACCGCAGCAAATGCGAAATTATACGCTATTTGGACTTCCAATTTCGTTTCATTAATTCAAAAATTCTTTGCTATGGAATTGTATGGATGGTTTATTGCTTAAACCAGCATTTGCCAAGTAAAATTTGTCCTTATTTTATTCATATTCCCTGAATTCTGTAGACTATTTACTTAAAATTATCAAAACACATTGGTTTGTTTTCCTAATTTCTTAATTTCAAATAAAAAACAAGTAATTGTATATGTACAACTTTGAATTTCCTACTTCATTTGCACCGAATTTAAATTGATCTCTTTTATTTCTCAAAGCAACAGATAAATCTTGGCGAAATCCACTTATAGTAACCACTAAGCCGCCTCTAAGTCACAAATAAATATGAAATTTAGTCGATTTATTTAGTGACTTTGATTTCAAACCGAAGTAAAAGAAATGCAAAATAATTTTTGCGTGAACTTAAAAATATCCCAGTGTGTCAACTCGAATAACTCGAGTATTGCCTTCTTTCTTTGCGACCTATTTATATGAGACACAGGATTTGCAATTTATGTTATGTTGCAACAAAAGTAATGTAAAGGAACAAGCTTGGTTTATATGAATTATCTGATATGAGGCATTCGATTATCTAATATGAAATTTCTATTTTCCTTGATTTTCAAAAATATAATTGGTTGTTATTGTATAAATGCAAATAAGGTTCTAACACACTGCAATGATTTTGTATAAATTAATAAATATTTGCTCATTTTTAATCCTTAATAAGCAAAAAATTTAAGTATTGTATAATCGTTGGATTGGTTCTGTGGTAAAAAAGTTTGTGAACGCCACTGGCTTATGCTATCATTTTAAGCATTGTGGTTGGTTCAGTACCTACGTCTAGCAAGAAAAATCAGGGCGAGGATTCAGGATTCATTTATATTGTTACCAACAAAGCCCATCCTAACAGCCAGTGAAGTGCAGAAATAGTGCAAAAAAATTAAAAAATACCTAGGTAAGATTTTACGTTATCAAGTTTATTTTGATTTCTTCCAATGACAACAAATTTCCGAAGACCCCTTCTTGCGAGTTCAATTAAATATGCTTTGCCTATTCCATCAGTTCCACCAGTTACAACTGAAAAATAGAAAATTTTCAAATTTCACCGCTGCAAAAATGAAGCCAATAATTTGTCAATTTTGATAACTACATGAGAGAAATCGCAAGAACCACTTGGATTTCTTGATAACATCAGTGTGGTTCTGGCAAATGATATTGGAGTGGCTGTTGCTCAAACTATTGAGCACCAGGAGATCGGATCATCCTGTTAACTAAAGGAGCAAATCTATTATCGAGAAGTGCGGATGGTTCTGGCGATGGTTCTCGTCTGTACCTCTTTCCGCAAAAATCCCTCATCGTACTAATACCAAGTAAACCCAACCAGAATTATTGAGCGCTAACCACCATGGAAAGAAATTTTTAAATAAAATAAATAACCCGTCCAACGTCCTTTATATCGTTTGAAATTCGGTTTATAAAATATAGGAATAACTTTGTAGATTATAATTGCCCATAAAAATGCAAAAATTGTACGAAAAATGCGATAAAATATAAAAGTCTTTGAAATCCATAAAATTAGTTCGGCAATCGGTTTAGCCGCCATAAATAATATTGGCTGAGATTTTCATCAGTAGAATAACAATTTAAAATTTAAAGCAATAGAATCAGTGAAAACGGAGTGGAATATATATTGAACAATTGGAATATATTGAATGTATTCTTAAGACATTTCAAGGCACCTTGTTTATTCATTTTTAAATGTTTGATTGATTTTAAAGAATTGAAAACAAAAATTACAATAAAATAAGAGAATTTTGTATTTTTACCAAAATATTTTAAAATGAAAAATTTTCCAAGAAATTTTTGAAATAATTTTCGAAAGAGATTGCCCTAATAAAATTGATTTCAGTACAATTTTTTAGCGAAAGAACTAAACAATTTAACGATTTATTGCCAGCAAAACTAGGTTTTTCATTGAGAATAACGTGTGAAAAAATAAAATGACAAGCGAATTTATCTAAATTTTCTAACTTCGTTTTTTGAAAATTGTTTAAGTCGATCCAAGTTGCATTAAACCAGCTTAAAACAGTTATGAATTCAAGCAGTAAACCATAGCAGCATTCAAGGGAGGATGGACGAGTGGGATTTTGCTTCGACGAGGGACAACCGTTACATTCTTCTTCGTTGAAGGAAATAACTCTACCGCGAAAAACAATTTGAATGTTGCTTTGAAGCTATACCATACCAAATGACTTCAACCCTTTCTGGAAAAAAAGCTGAACAGTGGAGCTAAGCCAGTCAGAAATGGCAAGTTGAGCTAGAAGAAGAAGCTTGTCAACCAATTTTTCCAACCTGAAGCTTATCAACTGATTATTAACAAGTCAGTGATTCGACACCAATGCACCAGTAGCTTTACTTTCTCATTCATTTGTCGTTGTACATTTACTATTCAGCGATGGTTTGGTGGTTTTTAGTGCGATTTCAACAACTATTTACCTAAAAATTCATGGTCAAAAGCTGATGGCGCTGAAGATTCATCTGTATTTTATGTGACTTCTATAAAAATTTCTCACCCTATTAACAACCAGTAAAGCGACTCTAACCACAAATCATTTGCGCATAAATCATTCACTTACTTATTTCACCTTAATTTTAATCAGTTTAACCTTAAGTTTCTACTACTTTTTACTTAAAATTTGTTTCATGGCGAATCGTGTGAACTTTTTAACGAATCTTTGCTAGTCATCTAAATATTATTTATTGTCAAATTGCTTCGGTCTTTCTTACCATATTGATCTCGTTTCAATTATTGAACATATAATAATTACCTTTATCGGCTGAGCTGTATTAACCAGGGGAACTAACCTAACAAAATTCATTGAAATGATGAGTTGTCGCTAAAATCAACATTACCTAATTTTTCTCAGAATCAGAACGTAAAAACGAGATTACCGTCGGTACCGTAAAAATTTATCGAGGTCAGATTTTTATCAGTATAAAAACAATATCATATAAATTTTATCAGGCATGTGCCGAGTTTACAATTGCATAACTTGTTAAATCAATTAACTCAAACTATCCCAAATCTAAAAATATGATTATCAAATATCAAAAAACCAAAGTATCTCGAAAAATCACTCAAATAAGTTCCGTTTGAAATAAAGCGTTTAGGGCATTTCAATATTTAAACTCGACATATCCATAATTTACGCCATAATCATATTTACATGAAAATTTTGAATTCAAAATGCTAATAATTTACACCTAACCCACTATGCGACGCAGAATGAGCTAATCAACGAGCCAAAGATAAGCAGAGTCAGTTCAATTCCTATAATTCTGTCTATTTTAAGTAAATGTTGCTGGTTGGAATCAACTTGCACCTCTGTGGTTACTTTGAAGTTAAAAAAAATAATCTACAAGATTCTAACTGACAAACCAAGCCAAACCAGAAATGACAAGTGTTATGCCATTTTTTCATTTCAAAATTCACAACATATAAATTAAAAACGACAGCGATTTGTTGCGTAGAATTGCACTTCCAGTATAAAAAAAGACAATTAATTTTCAGTTCGTTTTTTTTCTATAATATACAAATTATAACCAATCAACATCAACAATATTAAAATGAATCTAGAAAAGCGATATTTTTGATATTAATTTTGATATTTATAATGATATTTTGATATTTATATTGATATTTTGATATTTATATTAATTTAAGCAAAAGATAACTTCGTTCTCTTCAAAACATTTTTGATTTAACATTTTAATTGAGAAAATAAATAAATGATTATTTCTTACCCCATAGAAAAAATTAAAACAGTGAAATTAAATTAATTAAATTAAATTAAATTAAAACATTTTACAGATTATACCTAATAACCATGTGAAAATAAAACAGTGAAAAAATAAATTAAAATTAAACGAATTCATGGAATATTTGAAAGAATCAACTCACTGACATGAACTGATCGCAAAATAATTATTCGATACATAAAAATGTAACGATTTTTCGACTTATTGAGGGCAAATAAAATGATGATTATTGAAGAGAGTATTTGCGTTAAGTTAGGTGAGAAAGGGATTTCCTATTGATAAGTCAATTCAAGGTCATCAATTCGATAATCGATATTGACAATTTTAATCTTACTGTTTAATCTTACTATTCGATATATTAAATATATGTCATATATAAAAACAATTTTCTTTCCACATTAAATTTTGCAAAATTAAATGAAATTTTTATATTAATTTAAGTAAAAGATGACTTCGTTCTCTTCAAAACGTCTTGATTTAACATCTTGATTAAAATTTGAAATCTTTGAATTTTTAAAAACAAACAGAAATATTTAATGTATTATTTCGATATAATTATAGCGCAAACACTTCTTTACTAAGGTAATTAATTATTGATTCCATAAGAAATAAATTCTTAGGAAATAAAAAGTGCATTGAACAATTTGATACGCGAACCGTCCCAATATATCGAAGAAAATTGAAAAGAAAGACGCCAAATATAAGGTACAAAGAACTCAACCGTATTATCGTCTTCCACATATTTAAACTTTAAATCAGGAAATTTTTTCAACCTGAAGCTTATCAAATGATTATCAAATGATTAACGATAAATAATAAAACAAGAGACCAAAAAGAAAAACAATAGAACGGAAATCATTATTTCCAGTTAGAATGAAAGTTATGGATTAAAATTTCGCAAAGACAAAAATAATTTAAAAATTGCAAACAATACCGAATTTTTAGAGAAATGAATCTGGAAATAAGTCACACTAATAGGTTGCATCTATCTTTTTAAAAATATTTAAATTTAAATTTTAGAGCATCTTTAAAAAAATCTTGCCTATCACTTGGCCAATGGAGAGCTCCCTTTTTTATAGCTTCTAGGACGGCGCTAACTGATGAATCCTTAATGGATTGAATTCTTGAAGCAAAATAATTGATTACCTTAAAATTTACTGCATTCAAAGACAAAAATTTAAAAATTTAAATCTTAAAAAACTTCTTTCCTTCAAAAATTAACCGAAGAGATATTCCAAATTAAATCTTGGAACATTGGATGATTTTGAAAAGCATCAAAAAGGTCACGTTTATATAAGATGGTATAGATGAAATGGGGATTATTCCGTAGATTTGACGTCAAACAGCTATTGCAGATTTCCAGCATAGTACGGATACCTTCTTCCAGTGCTGTTATATCTTGATGCTGAAATTTTATACCTTAACAAGGTCGAAAATTGGAAATATAAAAATAAAAAACCAATATGATTGGATACCAGATATATGTGCAATGAAAGGAAGAAATGAATAAGTCTAAAAATCTATAAAACCTGCAGTTGAAATGGTCCGATTAAAATGAATTAATATTTTTCTAATTTAGAATTTCTTGAATGAAATTTGGAAAAACTATACATAATTATTGGTTTCTTTTTCTTGCAAAATATCATATTCAACTCTAATGCGCATATTTTCGATCAATTTCGAACGCCGCTTGATGAAAGTCTATAAAAATAAATTAAAAATAATAAAAAATGAAAAATGAATGGAAGTGATAAATATTAGAAATATTTCTAACCATAAAATTTATATAAATTCATGATATAAAAATTTTCATTTATATACAGTATTTATTGGAAACAAGTTTACCTCGAACAATGCGATAAATTTTTGACAAACACTAGGTGATAGATGTTTAAAATATGGAGACATATTTGCAAGCGCAGCAAGACAATTTGTATGTAAATAACGATCCTAAACCATTATCAAAGGTAAAAATTAATAAGTATTAATAATAATTTTTCATTGGGAACCTCGATACATTAGCTCTATTTGGGAATGGATTTTAATGAAAAAATTGACCCTCATTTTGATTATATTAATCTGTATCGTCCGTGCAAAAACAATTATTATCAATCCACCAAGAGAAATTCCTCCTACATTCCTCTCTGAATTTAACCAAGTCGTCTCGTTAATAGCCTGAAAAATTAACTAGTGAATTTAAAAAAAAAGAAAAATTTTACTGAATTTTAATTTTGTGCCTACCGTTTCATGAACAATTTTGCAGAAAAAATCATCTTCACTCAAGATTAGAATAACAATTAGAGCCAAATACAAATGATGGGAATTGGTAGACGCAGCATGCAAAGATAACGATCCGCTATGTAATACACGCAACACAGGAATAACCTTTAAAATTATTGCTTTTGCAAAATTTGAAACAAAAAGCAGTCAATCAAAAAGTTAAGTTAAGAGAAAAAAGTTGGTATAGATTTATAGATTAAAGTATAGATTTGGGAGATGAAAAAAATCTTTTTTTTATACTTACCGCAAAATTTCACAGTGGTATGTCATTAAATAGAACAATTTTGGAGTGAAAAACAAGTAAAAAATTTAACGAGAAAAAAATTTCAATTCTTTTTATCATGAACTCACAAGTCTCTCCAAATTAATTCGAGAAAGAACATAATTTCGAAAGCCACTATTTCTATGCAATAAAACGTATAATAGTAACATTGGCGGTTGTTGTTCAACGGTACAACATAGGCGTTCATAAAGAATACTGAAATCTAGTTTGAAACTATTTGTACCGATCGTTCCTACTGAAGACACCTCTGAAATCAATTTATGAAATTTAGGTAAAGAAAAATACAAATACGAAGTGCTTTCATTAAGAAATTTCAGCAACTGCCACTTATTGTTTACAAGTTAAAAATAAAAATAAATTAAACCTTGAGAATTTTCGAAATTTGATAAACATTCTTTATATACATTCGGTTTACCATTCGGATTCTGATGACAAGCAAGATTAAGAAGCAAAAGTATTGATAAAGAGCCTAGTGATATGGCAGGAATACGATCATTAGCACTTTCAGATATGTTAATACCATCAACTCCTGTCATTAGCTGCAGAGCGGACCATATAGTCGCTAAAAATGATAAAAATTGAGCAAAAATCACAAATAAAAATTTTTAAGGATAGTGCAGTTTGAATAACTGAATATTTGAATGCGTCTTTGGTTCTTATCTGAGAAAATAAGTAAAACCTGCAAATCCCAAAATAAAACTTTCTGGTTCAGCCTCCATTTTTATTAAATATGGAGTATTTTTTTGCAGATAATTCTTTAATAACGCTTTGGTTAATTCTATTGATCGCACTGAACTAAAAGCAATAAAATGAAGAAATGAATAAAATGAAGAAAATTCCATCATTCACAGGCAAATGCGATATAAATTTATATAACACAGGATATAAATATAAAATAATGCAGGAATAACAATACCATTTTCCATTCATAAGGTATGCATAGAAGATTGAGGATTCAAGGACATCTTGGTGATATAGTTGTGAGCTTAGAACTGCAATCAGACATTTCACTGCTTCAATATGAATATGTTCAGTGGAATCACTAAAAACAAAAATGTTAAATGGAGATGAAACATAAAAACTAAATTTAGCTCATTAGCTAATGAAAAATAAAATATACTTACTTAACTGGCAACTCTGCAAGAATATCGACTAATGCAACAATAAATTCTTCAGCAGTACTTTCAAAGGAATTATTAACCTCAATCTCTGCATCCGAATCATTTTCTATAATAAATATTTAAATATCAAAAAAAAAAGAGATAAATTTAAATATCTTTAGTGAATATAACGATAAATTAAACCAATAGAAGATGAAAAAAATTACCGACAAGTCCATCGATAACAAGGTTCTTATCAAAAACTTTTATAAATTCGACTTCATTAAGTCTTTGTGTCAAAAATTTACAAATATAAGATAAGATAATCAATGCATTTCCCATTTGCCACAAAAATATGGTACTGAAATATTTTGGTTTTGACCGACAAATTATTTCTTATATTTGTTGGTTTTAAATTTTCAAAATTTACCAACTTTTGACAAATTTCAGATGCTTTAAGTTCACTAGATCGCCGCAGAAAAACACGAATAAAAGCGGCAAAATTTCCAGTGGTTTGAGTGTTGTGCATCATTGATTCGAGCAAATCAGATAACGATTCATTGAACTGCTTCAAAGTCTGTCTAAATAATTCTGCTCCGTCAAAAATATTTTATATTTATAGAATATTTAATATTTTATATTTATATTTTAATATATTTTCAAAAATATTAGAATAAATTAGAATTTAATAATAAAATTAATAAATGGCACAATCTTGGTATTTGCTAAACTTCCTCAATAACTGCCTATTATCAAAGCTATGGCAGCAACTGCCGCATCATTCCAAACAATATAGAATTAAGAAAATGCAAGTACTCTTAAATAATTTAAATGATATTTGAATATATAAAAAATAAAATAGAACAATGAAAATAACGATAATTTAATAGTTCTAATAGTGCTATAAAAATTTCATTGAAAACAAACTTATCATACAAATCGATGCGTAAGTTAAACGAAAGGAAATGATTCCAAAACGGATCGTTATCAGAAATAGGTTGTAAGCTAGAAAATCTCTTAAGAAAAGAATTCCCTTCTACTGATGTATCCGAACTGATAACACCGCCCATTCCCTGAAAACTAATATGTATTTTCAATGCAAAAATAATCACTAAAATATTTATTCGTTATAAATGATAGTAAAGCACAGAAAAAGCCAAAAACCCTAAAAAAAACTCTTAGATTTTGTCATTTTATTAACCACATTAAACTGCCAACAAAAAACTTTCTAGCTTAAAGTTATTTCCACTGCAGAATTTGCAGGGAAACCAAATTATAAGCCTGAAAAAACTATCCCATACAAAACAGGCCATAATTAACTCAGCTTTCTATAGGGTAAGATATTCTAGCCATTTCTGTCCACGCTCTCGAATCTTTCAGTACCAAAATCATTCGAGCGAAAAATGATGCTTACAGGGAAATAGCTGACTAAAGGAATGAAAATATCTAATAATTCCATGGCGCTCAAAGACAAGCAGCCAGTATTTATGAAAAAGCTTAGTTTTTCAGTGCATACTGCTTGAACAAAGCAGAAATTTTTAAGAAACTAAAAGTACCATAAAAGAGTGAAATTATTGCAATGCAAAAACGGCACTCCTTAGTAAATAAGCAGGAAGCGTTTGCGGCTCGAAAAAAGGAAAGGGAAAGATTAACAGCTGAACAACAGAAAAAAAGGTGCAACCGAAATGAAATCAGCAAATCTTAATGCGTCGAAAAAACCTTATAAATAACTATAATTTTTTATGGCACCGCTTATTGAAACTAATTTAAGGAGATTTATCGCTGAATTTTAAAGCGACTTCCGATTGTTATTTTGCAGAAATTCGCTCGATTTACTTCATTACACTTACTAATCGAGAAACTAATTAAATTACTAGCCAAGTGAATGATTCATTTCCCGAGTGTAGCCAATTTTATCATCTTGGCGAGTCGCACATCTCCCATAAGCAATAATTTGGCCCCTTCCAAATAGAATAGATGCTTTATGCCAGCAAACAATCCAACATCAAACCCTCCTTCACACAGCAAGCCAAACCACTTCCCCGCCGCAGGCTCCATCGGTTAAATCCACCAAAAAACACTAAATGTCGGTGAACTCATGGAATTCATTTGCTAAACGTCGGCTTTTCGCCAGTTACATTAGTCCGATCATTTTGACAGACTGGTTTGCCGTTTTTTTGCGTTTTTGCGTAAGTATGCTTGTTATTTACAGAAAAATTTACGCCTTCTGTTGTATTTTTTATTTCGTTAGCTTTTAACGCTTTGAAGGGATTTTCCTTTCCCGAGCGTCGCTTTTATAATTTCGAACGTTAAACTTGCGATTGGCGGTAAATATTCGCGGAATTACTTAAGAAACCCCCAGCGCTTGGCAAAACTCTGTTGTTATTTGACAGTTTTTCGCGCCGCGTAAATCATTTTTATTCTTCTCCGTTAACGCACCGTCGCGGATTTAATTAAGACTAATTAGTTGTCAACGAAGGTCAAATTTACGTCCGACCTGTTTTAATTAATTAATTAAAAATTTCAAATTATTCACTAAGATAATCTCTACCTTTACTTATTAAATTAAACCTTTACTTATTAAATTAAACAACCTTTAATTATTAAATTCATTAAAATAATATTGAGCTGTGGAGTTTCAAGGATATTCAAAACATTTATAATCCTCATTCCTTCCAACGTGTTCTTAACTGTGATGTCGGCGGATTGGCTTATCTGATCGCGCTTATCATCTTTATCCATGAATTATTGCAGATCATCGTGCAGTAATTTATTTCGCGTAATTATAAATTTTTTATCTGTAAAAAATTGCGGCGAGGCTTTATATATCAAATCAATATCAAATGGATATTTTACTGGATTTTTGGGAGATTTTCCGCAAATTTGCAGATTTTTGGGATTATCAGTGGAACTCTTCTTAGGCGACGAGATTACGCACCTGCCTGCACGCGATTATGCAACATTATTACACATACAACAAGTCAGCAAGTTACAATCACAAATTAAGCAAATATTTTATTATTATAAGTTTCAATTGACCTGTGGAATTGAATTATAATGGTTCTTTTTAATTGTTTGAGCATCCGTCCATTTTTTATCTTAGAGAAAACAGCGCTACTTATATATTGCCATGCAAATGGCGCAGTGATGAGACAGAATCAGTTGTGAATGGTTCATAAATGAATGGGAATACGATTATGATGAAGCACCGAAAAGAAGATATGAAAAAGAGAAAGAAAAAGGAAACTAGACAATATTCAGAAGTACCATTTTTTAATTTCAGATCATCTGAATTTTTCATTTAATTTTAATTATTCAAATAAATATTTTCGAAAATATTCAAATTTATTAGATTGTAAAATTCTTATGAATTGATGAAATTTTATTCAATCAATTAAACCATTATTAAAAAATTCAATCAAAGATATTGATGCGATTTAGCATAAAAAAATTCTAAAATAAATATTCATTTTTCAACGCAAAAAATTTTTGGCCAAATATTTCGATATATTAAAGATGAAAAATAATTTCATTTTTAATCGAGCGATTCAACATTCCCCACAAGTTAATTTACATTCTTCTGTCATCAGATCCTTATAAATGTCAACATCGCAATATTTGTTGTCACAGTTACTTGCTTTATCGGTACAAGTATTGTCTGCAAAAGATCAGTTTATAAGTTTCTTTTCAATATTCGAAGTAATAAAGTTACTAGCTCTTAAACGATCTTGTAAAGTGATAAAGCTAACTAAGAAAAAATAATTCAAGGCTAATTCATATTTTGACGATGGGCGTAATTAGCCCGGTACTTCGATTGAAAAAGAAGTAGCTATTTCAGTTATATGAATAGAGCTGTCAACATCCGATAGGCAATGAAGCAACCGAGCTAAGGAATAAGCGATATAAGCGACATGAGTGATAGAAGGTACTATTAGACGAAGAAGAAAATGATGAAGAAAAACAAACCGCAGGCATTGCAAATTCTTCGGCAATATTCCAACATAAATAGCTTGAAATTTTGGTGATCGCAGAGGCTTGATTTTTTGTACAAAATTGAGAATCCAGGTCATTGCAATCATTTACACTACACAAACCGCAAGTTTGTGGACAAGCTTTTAGAATTTGTTTCATCAATAATGTAATGTTTGTATTACATAGGTTTTTCTTTTTTACATCTGCACAAGATAAGGGAACCACTGAAAATGATAATTTTTTAACATAAATGGTTATAAATCTGTGATCTGTTTTTATGCATGACAAATTTTGACTGATGCAAGGGAAAGGGAAATATTCGAACCACAATAAGTAAGCTTGTCATTTTCGTCATTACGCAATATAAGCAAAAATTATAAAAAAAATGGTAAAATTTACCATTTGCGACATCAGAACAAGCATATTCAGGTTGCTGACAACAATTTAGACATCGCTTTCTGCACAATGGAGCAAAATTTGAAAAAAGTACGCAGTTTGCATCAACTATGTTTCTAGGGAAATTATTATTTGACGAGTAATTTTTGAAAGTAAATTCAGTATAACAGTGAAGTACGAATTAGCCCTAACAGCACCTATTTTTATCAATAGAGTTGTTCCGGCTAAGAGATAGGAATCGTGCCGAGAATGTTTAATCTTAGTGGAGGCATCATACCACGATTTAGTAATTACATAAATATTGCTCTCAAAATTTTCAAATGAATTCAGTTTTAATGCAATACATACTAGAAATTTGGTGAAGATAAATCTATCATCGATGCTCGCTGAATGGTTAAATAGATAAGTGATAAATGGTTAAAAAGTTAAATGAATTAATAAAAACTAAAATATGCATTAGATGGTGCACAAAATCCTTAATGCAAAATTGTACCAAATTTTAAAATTTTAGGGACATTTTCTGAAATGTTCTATTCGAAAAAAATTACCCATTAACATCTGGTTCAGTTGGAAATGCCACAGTGCATTCTGCACTGCTTGCTTTGTTCTCACAAATTGCACCAATCGTCCCTGTTGAACATGGACCGGCGTCGGCACTCACTAATAAAATCTCGTTGTTCAAGAATATCGTCGTTATGATATTAAAAAATACATTTTTGATACTTTTGATACTTAAATTATTTTAAATTATTTTTCTAATTTAACAACTAATTTTATTATTGTTAATTATCAATTAGTCATTATTGGTTATTATTATTATTAATTATTAAAGTATTATATCGAATTTTTTAGATTTCTCGCTGCAATAAGAGGGGAAACTTTAAGAAAGGGTGAATATCCGTGAGAAAAATCAAGTCCAGTTTCGAATCAAGAGCCTTCGATTAAAAGATATAACAAATTTATGACATTGTCGAGGTTCGATTGTTTTTATGCTGAGTTGAATATTAAGGTGAAATCGAATTTTTTGAGGCACAAAAGTAGATAAAACGCAACTGGTAATCCAATGTAGCAATCATTTTTATATTGAAACAAAGATTTCATTACTCACTGAAGTTCTTTTATTTGCTCATCTGCTACGAGGAACTGCCTGCAAAATATGATATGTTGGAAGAATTTTCATGCCAAAAAAAGCCAAAAATAATCGAAGCTTTGATAAGGCTAATATACACGATATAAATATGCAAAATTTGAAGGTTTATGGAAAATTTAAGCAAAGAAAAGTGAAAAGCCTGGAAGAATGAAAATAAGCAAAGAAAATTCCGCATATTTCCATGAAAATATTTGCAGGAACTTAAATTCCTTGAATTTTCATATAATATTATTTTTTTCCATGGTAAAATATATATAACGCCCATAAAAATATTAAAATTTAATAAATTAATAAAAAAACAACCTTATTATAACTAAAGAATTTTAGTTCGAGAAAGAATCGCAGCTTAACCTATAAATTTGATGTTAAGAAATTAGTAAATTAGAATTTATAAGTTCAATTTAGGAAATACTTAGGAAATCTTTTTTCAAAAATATCTCATGGAACCAGTTGGATGAGTTGGATTTTCCATATTGATATTTTGGATGACTTGAGATGATTTGCACGTTCTTTCTCAAGACAAGCAGTCTCTACCACAGCACTAACCGTATTATTCTTATCTGTGTTGATTACTATGTTAATAAATTATGATTAGCATCCTCGTTCGGATCTTATCACATCTCATCATTAAAATTTCGGTTAAAACTTGGGATACTTCGGCTTCACTTCCCCAACTATCTGGCGAAATTGTCTCATCGCACCAATTAATGGTCGGTGGAGCAAACCCTAACCAAAAGTGATAAGTGCGAACTTCTTTAGCACTTCTTTAATAATTATTTAGAATTTTTTTATATTTTAAGAATAATTTATTTTCGAAAAATAATTTTAGTAAGGGATAAATTTGAGACGAATATTTTGTCAAATAGAAAATAATAAATTATTTTCAATTATTATTAATAATTATATTAATTTCTACAATTTTTTAACAGTGATTTTGTCGTCAGTTTCTTTGATTTTTTTAAAAAAAGATTTTCATTTGCATTTTCAAATATTGTACAAATAGCTGAAATTAGTTGGCAGCAATGTAAGATTTCATCTATGTTAGCTTATGAAAATATTTGTTCGAAGGTTGCTTTCATATTGTTATTGATAAATTGCTTTTTTTATTTGGTTAATATCCTTCTTTCATTTAATTGGAATGATGATGGTATATAAAGATAATAGGAGACGGTAGGACAGGCCATCAGTCGATTTTTTTCATTCTAAACGTCTTCATCCACAGTATATCCAAAGTATATATGCACTGCAAGAACCATTTCGAAGACCTTAAAAATTTGGAAATGGAAAAATGGAAATACAGTTTTGGCCTTGACGAATATCTCTTCAGAATTCTTTAATTTATTTACTAATATTATCATTATTATTTTAATATTATTAGATATTACAATGAATGCTGGCAGAAAACCTCAGTGTATCAGATTTATTCATATATCTTTTCTAGCAACGTGATATGTCAAATCAATAGGCAAGAATTTCATTGGTTATTTTGCGATATAATTTCGGGGTTTCGGAGTCACTTCGATCTCCTTGGGATTGTGAACCTCGAAGGACTGACTGGAGATAGGTAGGAGGTCGACAGACTTCAACTGCTTCATTTTTTTAAAATTTCAAATTCAAATAAATTTTTTATTAATTAAAAAGTACGGATTTACATGAATGTTCGGATACCGAACCTCTAGGATCTTGGCCGAAAAGGTTGTATGCATTGTTCATTGATTGTCGATCCGAAGTGGAGAGCCAGAGAGGATTTCTAATGCCTTCTAAAATGAGACTCAAATCAGTTCTTATATCTTCGAAGAAAAATAAAGAGGATTAGAATTTTCTTAAAATAAGCCATTTTATAATCGCAGAAGATGAGTATTTGAAAACGTTAATACTTTCAGCAACACGAGATTTAATGATTCCTTGTAAAGGAAACGGGCTGGTTTTAAACAATATTCCAATATTCCAGTTAATATCAGCACTGTTAACTGTGTTTAAGTGTCGTATAGATGAAATCTGTGAAGGCATTAAAAATGATTAGCATCTGCACTGCGAAGAAATAAAACGTGCTTTCCTGCTCAATTGAACGAACCAACATTTGCGAAACTGCGGAATCTCGTTGATCTATGCTCAATACATTGACGGCAAAGAAGGAATGACGGAGGGATTTCTTTGTGACTAGAGCAGCTGCAGGAATTTCTTATATTAGAGGAGAAATTGTTTTACGAAAATCGTACAGCATTTTGTGAAATTCCTATTTCCAATATGACTGCAACTGCTGCGACGGTGCAAATGTTGGGGAAATTTCAATCAATGCATTTTACATAGGCAATATTTAATTGCGAAAATATGCAAAAAACTTCAAACAATAAATGCAGTTAAATTTAAAGCTTTGAATCAATGGCCCGATGTGCGACCCGAAACCCTTCTTAAAAATCTCCGTGGACGCCGCGAAAATCCACGAAGCAGAAATGGACCTGCGTATGTACAAATCATTAATTTTATAATTTACGATATTTTGTTTTTTAATTTTTTCTTTTTAAATAAATTTATAAAATTTATCTTTGAAATTATTTTGTATTACTTAATTCGCGGAATTGCGGAAAAAATGCTTGCATAAGTCATAAAAAGAATACTATAATTGAGTTGAGTCGGCGAAGAAGAGAGACTTTGATACATATGAAATGATTTAGGAACAGACCCGTGCCCATTTCAAACTCAGAGATCGCTAATAGTTTCAGCTTGATTGTTGATTAATTAAACGATAATGGCAAGCATAAGCATTGTAAGAAATGACATCGCACTGCTAATTTGTTGATATGATGTTTTATTCTATGAGTACACTTTAAAAAGATTCCGGCGAACTAAGAGATATTATAGTCGTTCTTTCAAATTCGATACCTATAAAAGCGCAGCGATTTCAGTCAACGAAACAGTGACGACCAGGGTCAGCCAAAAAGTGGGGTTTCACTTCACTTTATGTCTTCTGCCCGCTTTTAGTTGCGATTTATTTTTTGTTTGTGGTACTTTGTGTTGCTTTCTGTGGTAAGTATGTTGTCGCGATTTATTATTCCAAATAAAGCTTTAATTACCTAAGTTCGAAATTTATACTACAAGTAGGGTAATTTTACAACGAAAATACTTACCACGACTCACCTTTCTTCACGAAGGTCACGAAATAAGCGCTGCGCCTTTTCAGTCGGCAATCTTCTATTAACAAGCTGCTAGATAAATTTACATAATAATCATATCTAATAAATTTTCATAATAAATATTGCCAAAAACTGTAATGTGCTTTTGCATTCATTTTAGGAAATGTACGAAACATGGAGATAGAACGATTTCTTTCTTTAATATTTTTAATAAATAATTTTTCGCCAAACAATTCCCTAATTATAAAATTATTGATGAGTTATAAAATTATTATGAGCCTGGCTGCAAGTTCAGAAGAGCGCGTCTCAGAACGGCTTTTGCGACTGATATTTAAAGGACCACGAAAATCTTTGTGCGAATGCTTAGTGAGTAAGGAAATATTGGTAATAATAAAGCAATAACAAAGCCATAAAACAACCGATTTTTTATTATTTGAAAATAAGAAAAAGACAAATTGGGCAAAGAATTATTGAATTTAGCCTAAAAAAAGAAACAAAACGCAAGTATGCGGAAGTGGAACTGTAATTCTTGAGATCGTTTGAGACTCATAGAGAGTTTTCACGGTCCTTCATAGCAAAGGAACAAAATTGAGACACCACTGCTAATGTTTTTTGCTGCAGTATTTCTTGAAGAAGCAAACATACATCGAATATTTTTTACCTGTTCTTAAAATGGGGACCATCGCACCAAACATTATCGTCGTTAACAACTCTCGATATTCTCGATAAATCAAATCTCCCACTTCTCCCACTTTAAAAAATTTATGCAGTTCTCTTTGACTTTATGTAACAAACCATTTAATAAATGAGAACAAATAGAATAAAATAGCAAATTGGCATTTTTCGTCATTCTTGAAAAAAAAATCCATAAAAATTTTGATTTATTAAAAGAATTAATGAAACTGCTTTGAGCAGCTCTGCCGTTGCTCAAATTAAGGACTTCAGCTTCCGAGCGTTTGATCGTAAGAAGGGAGGTTCACGTAATTTCTGACAGCTCATTTCAGATATACTTCTGCTCGTAATTGTTAAGGACCCTTCGTGTTAATAAACGAATCCATCTCGATCGAAACGCTTGAAGCAAATTTTTCCATTTGGATTGGCACGCAAAATTCCATCAATTTCCCCTTCATGAGAACGACAACCGCACTTACATTTGCGGCATAAATGGAAATTCTTTGTCGAACTTTTCTCTTAAAATAAGTATGCTCACTGACGATAAACCAGATGGCCACCTGTTAAGTGCTTTAGATGCGACTCATAAAAAAGTATGAATAATTTTAATTTCTGAAATCTAGTTCGGATAGAATATATTAAAATTTTTGAAAACTGTGGCTACCACGAAAAGAACTGTTGCGGAATCCATCAGATTCCAACCACGAATTTCGTTAAAATGAACGATTTCAACTTATAGAACAAAATTCACTGCAAAAAGTTCGCCCTACCCGATAGTGTTTTTCTCCTTCAAAAATATAAAAATACAACAAAAAAGAAAGAATTCATTGCCAAAAAAAATCAAATCCACATTGAAAATAAATTCAAAGAATTATAAGAATTATGTAAGAATTAAATTGAAAGGATTAAACTTATCAAAAAAACAAATATATTAAAATAACAAAATACAAATACAAAGAAAAATGAAAGTCGCCAAAAATAAAGCAGAAAAAAAGCAAAATTTTATCCAATTTTATCCAAATTTTTCTTTCTATTACTGCTGTCATGTCGAAGACTCCAAATAAATATTTCTCGTAATTTTATTTTCAACTATTTGATTCCAATTGTACAAAATAAATTATTCAATATAAATCAGTATAAAGAATCAGCATAATTCAATATAAATACTACATAAATCAGCCGAGATTTCACCTCAACTTTTACATCGATTACAACTATCATTATGCGCTTCGAATTGAATTGAACCTTTCCAAAACTTTGACAGAAATTCAACAGCAAAACGCACAACACTTCGGTCGTACATGCATACAAATTTTCTGAAAATTAAAATTGAGCACCTTTTACTGTATAAAACAATTTGCTCGATTTCGATTTTTCCGCCCAGCTTTCTTGAATTTTCTCAAAAATTTTTTTTAGATTTACTGGAATAAAAGGCAAGTTTTATTCAAGCCATAGCCATAATTAAAACAATACAATGGGCGTCAACTTATTTATTTAAAATACGTTACTAGATAACTGACAAATTATTTGAATTATTCATGTGCGCTGCGCTAAATTTTAAAAAACATTCCACTTCATTTAAATGCACACGTAACAAATAAAATATATGGAATCCACCATTTTAAACACGCTTCAAACCATTACAGCGGACCGTTTTCCGCCCAGAAAAATCAATACTTTCCCAAATACACTCCAAACACTTATCAGCTTCCACAATTGCTAATAGTTTTTTTAACAATAGCTTTTTTTAATTTTTATTTAATACTAGTTAATATTCCACTTTTATAATGAAAAAGAAATGAAAAAAGACTATAATAACAGCCATTCTAATAAAAGAATATTTAAAAAATCAGTGGAAGAACTAATTTGAAATAAAATTTATTTAATAAACACAATAAGATGGATGAAACAGATGAAAAAATAGCAAAAAAATTTACAGAACAAGTGTTTTCTGCCCACCATTCACATTAAAGAAACCAATCCTTTTAGAACAGGATATGTTTTGGCCGACAAGTTCCCCCAAAAAATCGTCTACTCAAACGATCGAAAAAATTAATGAGTATCACATTGAAAAAATACAAATAAAACGTACAGCCATCGTAAGAAAAAATGCATACGCAACTATCTGAATCATCGACGATCACGACTGCGACGCCTGAAAATTGTGCTAATAGTTATAGAATGAAATGCGAAACGAATATAAAAAAAAAATATTAAATAGATAATGGCTATCCCTAACTTAATACCAACAGCTAACCTATCTATATCCCTTGCGATTGAAATTTTTTCATTTGAAAGCAACATCGCTTATTTTATTTAACAATGGTGATCGAAAAAACAAAAAAGAAAAAACCACAACAAATTTGAATTTTTAAAAAACATTTTTAAATCGTCGACCATTATATGATATACTCCAACGAATTTAAAAAAATTAATAAGAATCAGGAAAAATTATAGCAGAAAAAAACGTGTGCAACAAAATTCTTTTATAACGAAAATAAACATGAAAGTTTTTGAATAACTAAATTTTATTCTATAAAAATCTTAACTCGCAGCACTGCAAAATTACACATATTTTCATTCTTTACTCTACCCGCTGAATCTATTCATTAGGAAGTTCTCGAAGAAAACTTACGTAATTTAAGAACTGCTTTATATAATTTGAATAGCACCCTAGAAAGTTAAACTGCAAAATTGAAACTCCAAACCACTTATGCTGATTGCCAAACTCTGACTTTCAAGATATGAGTAGATGAATCTTTCGAACACTTAAATTCGTTCAACAATCGTTTACTAGATCATTTAGAGAAATTCGCTTGCAACCAGTTCCAAATATTTTAGAAAATGCTAACAAAACTTCTCAAAATGTTGAAAAGGAGCATAAATACAAAAGGTGGCGAAGGTAAACCTAATTAATAAAAATCAAAAAGATAAGTTACCAGCCCGAAGAACATTTTGACAAAATACCGAATTTCTCACTACGATTTAACCAAATAAACCCAAATAAATGACTTACCGATCATAACGCTTGGGATCTCTATCATGATCATCTCTTCGCCGATAAAAATAAGGCGAGCGGGAACGGTGTCGGCGAGGTGAACGACTAAAAAAATTATCTATAAAAAATAAAAAAGAAAAATGATCGAATTAATAAAAAAAAAGGAATGAGGATCAATATACCTCCGTCTGCGATCACGATCCCGATCTTTCATGCGATCGCGGTATTTATCGCGATAATCTGAATTATCCTCTCTGTAACGATCTCTTCGATCTCTATCGCTAAAATTGAACAGAATAATTTAATAACGAATTAAACGAATTTTCTACAAGGTTAAGTGGTTATCATAAACGAACATGCGACGCTATTATCATCTAATATATTATCATTATCACCAACCAAGAAAAAATTAGACAACAAATAACAAGAAATCCAAAATAAAACCTTCGCTCGCCATCATCACGAATGTTAGATATTCCAAAACGAATCTTTTTCCATGCTGTGCGACGTGCTTCTATTGTTTGCTAAAATTGATAAATTAAGGCTATACGAAAATGAACAAATTCATATAAGAATGGGTAAAAAAAATAAAATCCTTATTCTAAAAAAAAATGAGAGCGACATTTACCTTCATTTCTTCCAGTCGATCACGAATACTTTCCATTCCAACATGCATTTTTCCACCATAATGATCTGCTAAGCGAGTTTCATGTTCCATTATACTTAATTGAGCGCTACACATATCACAAACTCGAAGACGAATTTGTGGCGTATTTAGTACGGTTCGCACGTCATTCTAAAATACAAAAAATAAAAATTATGAAAATAAAAGTCAAGAGTGAAGTCAAGAGTATAAAAAAAAATATTATCATTGTTATCATTTCTTGACAAAATTCTAAAAATTAACGTTTGATAAACTGAATTAGGGGAAATAAAAGTACTAAGTAGAATCAGAACCTCTAGATCTCTCTTCTTTCTTTTGTATTCTTCGATAGTTTTCGATAATTCCATTGCTTCTTCAACTTTTCCTTCGTTACCTAACGCTTCCATTTTAACAATTGTCGTGCCAATTTTTTCACCAAGCTCACCGATTTTTTGTGCCTGAAATTACAATTAACATACATAAAGAAGAGAAAAAAATGAGAAGAAAAATGAAAACGACAAAAGAAAAGCAGCAACTACTATGTGAACGAAATGAATATTGAAAAATTGATTATGAAGGTACTTTAGCAATTTCAGCTTGGTCAATTTCGCTTTCGCAATCCCTTTTCAGTTTTTCCTTTGTCCTTTCAATTTCTTTATCAACTATGCGCACTGCTTCCTCCAATTTCTCGAAAACCTAAAAAATTTGATTACTGAGACGGAAATATACAATATCACAATAAAGATAATTAAAATAAAAGATCATATAATGTACAACGAAATTGGCCCTAATTCAATGGACATAATTCACCACATGCGTGACTTAATAAAATAAAATAAACTCAATATATGTTCATACTTGATTAATTTCATCCATGTTCATGAAGAAAATGACGAAAAAAAAGGAATAAAACAAACAAAATGAAAGAGAAATATCGAAGTAATTTAGAAATTAAACTAACATCAATATCATAATAATGATCCTTTTCCTTCTGTGCATTCTCATAATCTGCTTTATGGGCACTTTCGTGAACCTTAATATATAGGGTCTTATTATCCGCCTACTTTTTCGTAAAGCTAGATATGATAATCGAGTAAAATAAAGCGTAAACGAAAATTAAACCAAATCTTTTCAAAAAATAAACAAAATAATGAAAGAATTTTTGTCGACATTGAATTCAATTTTCAATTTTTATAATAAATTTATGCACAAAATCCACTTACCAAATTTCGTAAATTCAAAAAAAATTTGCATTACCAGTGCATAAATTCGAATATCTAAAATAATAATTAAACTGGTAAAGAAATATTAAACCAACCTTATTACAAGCAACAAATGATTCCAAACGTGTATCGGCAAGTATTTCATGCGGACAGCATCCAAGTAAAAATGCTCGACATACCGATGGGTGATTATATGGTATTAACTTACGTCCTTCCTCTTCTGCTCTATTTGATCCCATTAACTGATTGATTAAATCTCGCATTTCGGCCGTCATTTTGCCGAAACTATAACCATTTCAACAAATGCTAATTTTGAAAACCAAAATATTAAGAAAAAGGCGACTTAATCGCTCCTATAGTAAATCGGGTTCACATTACTTAGAAGGCAAATTAATATGAATTTTATATTTTTATATGAGAAAAAACAACAATTTTATTGCTTGACTCACGGTAAGGAGCTGTGAAATTAACATCGACGAATGAATGAATAACTCTGACAAAAATGAAGAAAGCGCCCTCTAAAAGTAATAAAACGTTAAGGTGCCTTTCTGTTTTCGTTTTGTGTTTCGACGACAATATATCGAACAAAAAGAATGGAAAAAAATCCAAAATAGAAACGTCTTAAATCAAAATTTTAAAAAAATAAAACAATAAAAAATTTATCATTTCTATATGAATGCAAATTCAATTAACTTCATTTTCAAGAAGATTTAGAAATCAGACTTTTCCTTAAAATATTAATATTCAATTTTTCCTGAATATATCGATCGTATAGTAACTAACTAATGAAAATAGTAATAAAAAAAATTAGTGAAAATCAGTAATATTAATAGCAGCAATAGTAATATAAGCCTTTTTTCTTTTAGGATCACTCTATCCTCCGGCTTGTCGCACTGAAAAAATATGGCAGGGAATCCAGGGACGATAAAAGGGGAGTCGCCAACATAACTCGTATTTTCAGATAGGTTTATTCTTGCCCAGAGTAGAACCTCAGCATCGGCGTTCCGAACTGAACAATAACTTATTCTACTTTTACTTTACTTTTATCCTTAAGATGACAATGCGCCCGATGAAAAGTAGTAAGCAGTGCGTGGGCAGATTTGAAACCAAGCCTCGATTTTCGATGTCCAATTATCACTGAGCCGCCGATGCACCCCCAAAAGATGAAAATGACGGAACTTGACTTTTCGGCACAGAACTAAACAGGCGCCTCGAAGCCACAGGCGCGTGCACCATCCACTGCACTACCTCAAAAGCAATATGAACTGTAGCTTACCAGTAAAATAAATTTCTCGATGAAAAAAGAATCAACAAGAATATATATATTTAAATCGATTGATACCAAGCTGAAAATATTAAATTAATCTTATTAATCTGATTATGTCAAAATAAATATCCAATACTGCTTTCATATCGCACCATTTTGCTCACTCTTCCCTACTGGTATAATACTCCTTCCTCAGGTGCTCACCAGAAGATCCAAAGGAATACCAAATAACGATTTCACTTTCGCCGGGCTTATTTAAGGCATTGGTACCCAACTGCAGTAACATGCCATTCGACCACCCTAATCTTGTTGCTTATCGACCGTAAATATACTAAATTTTGAATAAATGACAATTAAAATCCAATAAAAATACACCTCCCAAATATGTTATACCCAAAATCTGCAACAAAACCACCACCACCGACCACCGCCAAACTAACCACAATAACTGTAGCACGCATAATAGCATGCTCAATAGAAATCTCAAAATTTTTCGTTTCGTGAATTAGTTATTATGATTCAAATTTAACAGCTAAAAATCCTCCGTGTTTTAACCACACACTATGTGTGGTGCCTAAAATAAACAAACATGAAATTACAAGTCGTTTAATGGATACTTGTGGGTTTCCAGGATGTTGCCGATTCTGGATTTGAGAAAATCATTTATTGTCAAGATCATGAACAAGATAAATTTTTGTTATGGTTGGAGTCCCTCAAAAAGATCCATTGGCCTTATATTGGTAATTTTGCTTAAAGTACATTCACCTTACCTGCTAAGATGGATTTTTAATTGGATGAATTTTTCAAGGTCAAGACCAAGCAATTAGTGTCGCCCTAAAAAACCTTTTGTAGATAATGATAACCACCCTCAACCTCGGATTCTTTATCAGAGGCCTGGAAGATTGGGGGTTCTACGCAATCTTTTAGCTGTCCCTGGTAGTGCGCTCTTCTGGGCAAAGATCTCTGATGTTCTTGCTGGAATCTGTTGAAGCCACTTTTCTTTAGAGATTCTTTAGACAGTTCCAAATGCTCCAGTTATAACTGGAATTGCTTTGGCGTTTACTTTCCACATCTTCTTTAGTTCCTTTATATTTCTCTGACTTATCATATTTACATTTTTTTATACATTTTTCCCAATGTTCCTATCAATTGTTATTGCTATATCTATCACCAGTGCTGATTTCTGATCCCTATCAAGATATCTGGTACTTGTTTATCTAGATGGAAAATATCCCACATCTTATTATTCTCCACGCTTTTCTGAGGAATCTCCCGTCTAGTATTGGGAAGCTAAGCCATATACTAAGCAAATTTCTATAGAGGATGCCACTACTAGCTTACTTTAGTGGGCAAAAATTAAAGTGAACCAAACCAAACTAAACCACTGTGCAAGTGCACCGAAAAATTATGCCATGCGTCAAATGCCGTTATTTACCCAAGATGTACCACCACAGCAGTTATTACCCAACCATCAGTGACATTTGACGAATTAATTCTGACGATGATGAAGATAAAAGAGAAAACAGAATAAGATGAAAATTCTCAACATGAAAGACTGCAAAAGCATTGCCAACAAATAATTTAAATCTTTTCGAATTGCCATAATTATTGCTCCATTGGCTTATCGTACTGAACAAATATGCCAGAGAATCCTTCACTGATAGAAATGCAGATGAGTAACTGGCACCACACGAATTTTTGAACAGGTTCACTCCTGCGGGGCACAGGACCTCAGCATCAGTGCTCCTAGTTGAGCAACAACTCACTGAGCCGTTCTACTCCCAATAGCATATCTGATTGAAACGTTACTGTTGGAAAGAAAAATATATATTTATTTCTCTAAATATTATATTTTATTTCCTGGATCAAATCTCGTCTGAACCATCCATAAAACTTCATCTTCAAAAAATTACAAAATTAAAAATTCGTCTACAAGCCATCTTTACTGATAATATTATTTGCTTTTGCGCTAATTTCCTCAAATATCCTATGCATGCCATGCCATTTTTTTATTCTCATTTAACATACGTATATAAATAGCGCTATTAGACTTGGAAGGGTTAGAATGCATGAATAGACAAATGAAGTTTTATTAAATCAATCAGAAAGAATAGCCGCAATGAACCATCTATACTTATATATATATATATATATATACATAAATCTTTCACTCTATGCAAGTGGCAATGACCGTCCTCATCTTTGGATCGATCCTCTACCACAGGTCTGGAAGAATGCAGGTTCTGCGCAGCATCTTACCTATTTCTATTTATATAAGTATTTAAACCTTTCATTTACACCTTTCATTACTCTAACGCAGTCTTATTTGTTGCCAAGATTTTTGTGCAAATTATAAATATCCCACTAGAGAGAATTCGATTTGAAAGAAGAGGTTGTCTGAGCTGAATTAAAGGAACATTATGCGGTAGGACAACCACAAATCGAAATTGCACTGCTCCATAATCCCTTCGCGGATATCCATCTAATAATACAATTTATTCCACAGCAAATACTACCCTAAAATTCCTTTTCACATCTTGTGCAGTCATTTGAAAAAATGCTTTCACAAAAGATAGATAGAAAAACTGAAGCAAAATATGGTAACAATAGTTCGAATCGCAGCCAACCCTTTTTTTCCTTCTCCGTGACGGTCCTTTGACGAGATTTTCTGAGATTTGTGTGCATTACGTCAATCACCTGTGGCAGAGAACCCGAGGTAACTCATAATATATATATATAACCCAGAAGGCAAGTACGGCTTGATGAATGAAAATGTGAAAATGTCAAAAAGTCACTGTCTTGGGCGAAACTCGAAGCATTCAGAAATATATCAACAAGATGGTACCAAAGGATGAACTACTGAGGGGATACTTACAGACACTGGAAAGAGACCAAAAAGTAACAGAGAAAGGCAAAGCAAGAGCTTCATAGAATATGTCATCAAAAGATAACTGATAAAAAGATAACTGATAATTGAGAAATCCTACCAGGGGTTGGAAAAAGACAAAACTGAGACATTGATCACAATAGCAAACACGAAGCACTAAATCTACTGAAGCAGAGATCTATCATACTAACAGGATTCTAAGTGCAAAAACGCCCCAGAAAATAATGATAGCATATAAAATACAAGCAGGAACAACTGAAAGGCATAACCGAGTAGTTAGCATCATTTACAGCAATATCTGCTCGGTATTTGTTTTACACTTTTCCAAGACTAAGCGGGAGATTCCTCAGAAAGCCATTGAGAATAATGAGATAATGAGAAAGATAAAGATCCTGTGGGACTTCATCATACAGATAAATAAACAAGTATTATACAGTCAACCAGATATCATAGTAGCAGACAGGAATCAGAAATAAAATATTGTATGGAACCCTCAATCTCCCAGGCTGTAGAGGACTCAAGATTGAGGACGATCTTCACCGCCCATAGGAAGAAAAGGATTTTTTTAAAATGAATTTATCAATTCCTAAGCCTAAGCCTAAGCCTATATTATTCTCGCCAAAGATAATGATAGAAAGCTAACGCTGGAGATAATACGTAATTCGTGGATTAGTCTTGCTTTGCATATGAACAGTTATGAAAAAATTTGTAGTCGATCTGATGTCTGTGAGCTGCTTTGAAATATTCGATTACGACATTGTCTTTTCGCGGAAGTCAGCGGAAATTATATCAGAAAGGTATGCTCTGAGCGAGAAAGAGAACGCTGGAATGGCTTCGATAGCGACTAATATGTGATAGAGATATGAACAGGTACTGATCCGAAAGAATGTAAATCGACTGAGCTGAGTCATACTATCTTTCTCGGTTCGTTGGTCCAACTAGAAGAGTCCATCCTAATATGAAGGCCTTTGCTATTGTCTCCGCCACCTATAAGTCATAGGAGTTGCTTTTATCATCTGAGTAACTCTATTGATGTCAAACATATGAGTCCAAGAAATGTCGGAAATGTTTGCTGTAAAATTGCCAAACTGATTGCAAGCAGATCTTTGCTGAAAGCATTGTATTTTTGTGCAGTGACATTATCTTTTTGGCGAAGAAAGAAAGAAGTTGAAAGATAGCCAATACATACAACGAGCTTTTGAGAATAAAAAATTATTTGGATAATATATATTGTATAGAAGAGGAGAAACGAGGTACCCAGCACGTCGATGCTACTTAGAGTGCTACTCACTGCCATTCGACGAAGATGAGTGCCGAAGCGCAAATTATCCTTGATGCCGAAAGTTTTAATGTAGACTAAGGCAACAATTATATCAGACAAAAAAAACTTTTAAGAATCCAGGGTTTTTTTTGTATTTTAGAGCAATAAATTTTCTCTATAACAACAGCAAATGTCTCATTCTCGACTCAAGGACCAAACTGGTACCAAAAAGCAGTTGTCATTCAGACATAAACCTCCTTCACCTCTAAAATTTTTTTAATTTTATCAATAGGGGAACTTCCTTACCATTCAAAGCTTCCTTACTATTAGCTTTTATTTAATCTAATAATTCGTTATCATTATTCGTTATCACTGTTGTACACCAAACTGATTTCACCTTGTTCTTATTTAAAACCACATAAGGTTTAGCAGATATATGCACGGATAATTTCCATGCACATTATAGCTGCCTTTCTCAAAAATCTCATTTTTGATCGCTCTTTTTTATCTTAAAATTATTTAGCGGTGAACTTTTTTCTTTTTGAAACATCTATTTAATTCACTGTGACAGTAATAATTCAGCATTCAGCCTACTCACTGCTTTTCTCCTCTAAAAAACAGCTACTCCGAGTCAATGAAGCCAGTCGTCGGCCAGTTGCCATGCTGCTGCCACTTTTAATCTTGCAACCAACCAGTCTTACCATGGATCCTGCAATGAACCAGTTATTACTACACAGTTATCATTGTCCCTGTGTCCCCAAGGAGAAATATTTGTTATATCTTCTCAAAGGCGGCTGATGAAAAAGCAAAATAAAAGAAAAGAAGAATACTGCTGGATATACATCCACATAATTCATAGTTGATAAATAACCATTGTCTATTTGCTGAAAATTTACAGATTGTGTGCACCATAAGCTTATCTTCAATAACCACCAGTAAAAATGATGCTGAATACTTTGAGAATCAGTGCTTATTCGCAACATATTCAATTCGGGCCAAATTAGGTGTTTTGAGATAACTGTACGGCTGCAACCAATTTATCTTGTGCTGGTATGACTAAAGCTGATACATAACAGGGGATATCGATGGCAGCTTGCATCCACCTCGTAGCATCTGCCAGTCCGTAAAGGTTTCCATGCACCTTGAGCACATGAAAAGTTTATTAGAACAACCATAAAGAACATCAATAATTAACTCTCCTAGATACGAACCAACGTAGAGAATCGCGACAGTAAAACGTCACGAACACCTGAGGAACGCGTGTTGGCATAGGTGATAATAGAAGAGAGAGCATTGGAGATGAAAAACCAAAGACAATTTTTAAAAAAATTTCCACCTTTTCCTCCTCCACCTTCAAAACTGAAAAGGACAATCTAGAAAGAAAGTTATGACGCTGAAAATTCTGACGAATTAAAGAAAAGAAAAACACGCCCGAAAGATGAGATTCGGCCATTCGACGAAAAGAAAACCTTTAATCTTTGATTATGTCATGAAACTTCCATAATTTAGGACCATCAGAACTTCCCAAGATTTTTAGAGCCGTTATTATTTGCCATGAAATAGTTTAACGGTGAAAAGAGAGCGGCGGTAGAGAGACTCAAAAAATACGCAGAAAACAATGGCAATCACCGCTTATCACCAATTAATCTCCTCTCGAGGAACCGGAAATAATAACGATTCCGCTGTATTATTGATCGCTTCATCACTTTCTTAATAAATTTTGCTGTAATTTGCGTTCGTTTTAAACTGAAAGGTCTGAAAATAGAAATGGATTAACGTTGATAAAATGGTAGCTTAAATATGCACCATTTTTCTGATTTAAGCAAATAAAAATTTGCTTTCGGGAAAAAATTTATTATAAAAAAAGGTATCGATTTCTCTGCAATAAATCCGTTAAATGATTTTCAATTCTTATCGATTTTCAATTATTAATTTTAAAGTTATAAATTATTTTGATAAAAAAGTTTTGCGAATAAAAACTCTAATCTAATCTTTAACTCTTTGCCAAATTTTTATTTTTTACTATTTGTAAGTATTAAAACATATCAAAAATATCTCTCTTCTTTCATTTAAATACCGTCCTGCTTTACTTCTTTTTCTGTTTAATTATTTATAGAAGATGATTTTAAAATAGGTCCAACAGGGGGTTTCATTGGGATCTGAGGAGACCTTAAGGAGCGAATAGGGTTTTAAAGCGGTTCTGCTCGCCCACAAGGCAAATCCTTCACAGCAATGATATTGCAATTCCCCTATCATTTTTAAAAATATCACCTCATTTACGATAAAATTACGCGAATAAATAAATGTAAATTGATAGCACCCGTCACCTTTATTTATAAGGAAATTCGATTTTTAATTATTCAGAAGCCGCTATTTTACAAATTATACGACGTTGGATATACGACGATATTGTGCAACACATTTTCCGCGAGGAATAATCGCTGGAGATGCCAAATTCAACCTCATAACAGACAAATGTGGTGAAGTAACAATAATTCGTGCACTTATCGCGGCGCGTGACAATACCTCGCGAGCAATCGCCATACGGCTGTCCTCCGCGTCGAAAGGGCTGCTGCACTTTTTCACTTTCTTCCGTTGGTTTTAGACAACAAAAAGTTCGTGCGTCGTGCCTTGGGCGTCGCAGAGTGACTATCGACGAGTGAAATAGCAAACGCCGATTCACTATTTTTCTATATAAAATTGTGCCCGTAAATAGCGCAATGAGACTGTCCAGAGTGGCGAATAATACTGAAAGTCGAGCCTATTTATAGGCTAAAACTCTGATGCGCGCAACTGTCAGTGCAGAACTGACGAGCAAATAAATAAATAATTTCCAATTTATAAATAAAATATGAAAATTATATTTGAAATTGCAAAAAATATTTGAACAAACAATAAAAAATAATTTAAAAATATTTAAATGTCTAAAATATAAAATGATTTATCAAATAAATAAACATAAACAATGCAGAAATTTCGTTATTTTCGATAAAAAACAATATCACCGCAACAACTTTTAAGGAAAATCGATAAGGCCAAAGGTCAATGAAACGCGTGCCTGCTGACGCGACGCGATGCATTTTTTGGCGCGTACACTTTTCTTTCTCCGCGATATTTCCCGATTTCATTTTTCTTCTTTTCCTATACTCTCTGTCTCCGTTTGTAGTTTTCTCTGCATTTCTAGAAATTACTGCCATCCAGTGCAAAAGTTTAGCATTGTGGGGTAACGTGGTGATTGTAGGGAGGTTGTGGTGCGCCTGCGGAGGTGGGTGCGGTGAGTGAGTGGAGGGTCGTTCGTGAGTGGTGGTGGTGGCCGTGTTGGTTGTTTCCTGGTCCTGACGAATAGGTGAGTGCCCTCTGGGTTTTTTGCGTTAAGCATCATCATTTTGCATTTTTTCTATTTTTGCTATAATTTTCGTCATAATTCTCGATCACAAGTGGGATTAAACAAAAGTTTCATGGTGGTGAATAATTTGCACCGATGCACAAGTGGCGGGTTGGATTCGCGTCGTCGTCCATCTTTACCCTCTTCTGATTTCGTGGAATAGTATTCTTTAAGTTTTTTAATAGTATTTTTCTCGAGTATGTAGTCTACACACACACGGCGGTAAATCCTATAAAAATTAATGATTGATTTTCAGTAATAAGAAATGTCGCGACCGCGCGTTTTTTTTGATATAACGATTGGCGGTAAGAGTGTCGGACGCATTGTTATGGAAGTATCTTTTATTAATTTATTAATTTAATTTTTAATCTAGAAGTAATTATTTTCTGGATATTTTTTATTTTACTAAGCGGAAATGGTCGCAAATAGAAAATTTTAAAAGTCAGCGCAGCTGAACAATTTGATATATTTCGATGACTATATTTTCTTTCGCTTCAAATGGTAAATTTAGTCGAAGTTGGTGCAAAGGTTTGATTATTGTTTAGCGTGGTGCCAGAAACTGCGACAGTTTATTTACTGAAAGTTTCATTAAAAGAAAGTTAAATTAGCTTAAGATCTTTTCGCCAGAAGTATTCGTTTGGAAATAAAGGTAATTTTTGCTTACTTGATGAGATAAATATTAAATAATGAACGGATTCTTAAAATATTTGTTTGCAGTTATATGCGGATATCGTTCCAAAGACTGCTGAAAATTTTCGATGTTTATGCACAGGCGAGAAAGGAATGGGCAAATCAGGCAAACCACTTCATTATAAGGGTTGCAAATTCCATCGCATTATCCCGAATTTCATGGCTCAGGTGCTGCTTTTTCCACTTTCGGTTTCTTGGTTTTTAATAGTGACATATATACTAGATTCTAGTGTGGAATAAATTTTCTATAAATCTAACTCGTTCATTATCGATATCGTATATATTTTTGTCGTGATGGGTAAATATTGATATTCCACACTTTTTTGTGGATTTTGCGGATTTCCTCAATTTTAATGCATTTAAGGGTGGTGATTTTACACGTGGCAATGGTACCGGTGGTGAATCAATTTATGGCGAAAAATTTAATGATGAGAACTTCCAGGTATTCTACTTTTTTGTCTTTTTCAAAGTCTAATATACAACAAAGTAAAATAAATACGTTTTGATGCATAGTTTTAGAACATTTAAACTCAGTCAGATAAATTAGTAAAGTATTTGAAGGTCAGGTGCCATCATGTCAGGTCAGGGTAAAAAATTTAGCGAAAAAATATTGGCATTGTAATTTAGATGAAACATACCGGACCAGGAATTCTTTCAATGGCGAACGCTGGACCAAATACGAACGGATCTCAGTTCTTTATTTGCACTCTTAAAACAGAATGGTTGGTTTTTAATTTTATTATTTGCCATCACTCCAAATAAGAAACAAGCTTACCACGAATATAAGGTAAATATAAATGTAGAGTTCAAGTTGGCCTATTATAAGAGCATTGTGAAATAATTTTCGATAATCGATAAACAAATTTTCGCAATAATTATTTAGGTTGGATGGAAAGCATGTCGTTTTCGGTCACGTAATTGATGGTATGGATGTTGTTAAAGCGATCGAAGCGGTAGGGTCAAGTACAGGAAAACCAACTAGTGATGTTGTGATCTCCGAATGTGGCCAACTATGATTCAACTCATATTCCAACCCATACTGAAACGCTTCATAAATTCTGGATTTTGTTGTTGTTATACCGTTTTTTTCTGTTCTTTTGCTCGTTTTGAGATTAATTGATAATATAATGGGCAACGAACGTGGCGGCCATTGGCAGCACTTTGCTTTTTATAGCCAAAACTTAACAACTCTGCTTTTTTTTACATTAATCCATAATTTCTTCATTTTAATCGCGGTTTCTCGTGATTTTCTTATAGTGATTAGATCTTGCTGTTTGAATCTTGGTTGAGGACATAAGTGACAGGGGCAATAAATTTACGATTCATAACAATGTACTTCCATACAAATAAAGCAAATATTCACAATATTACTATAAACATTTGTTCCACATCAATTATTTTCACCAAAATTATCCACAGAATATTTTAAGCAGACGCGGTATATAGCAATCATAATAATCTGAAGCAGAGATGAAAATGAAAATAGCAAAAAAAACGAAATAACACATGATTGATGAACCTTGCATCTAATAAAAATTTTGAAGTTTTTCCAATTAAAACAAGAACAGACTTATGTGCGAAACATCCCAAAAGATGAGCAACTGCTCAACTGTTCGATTACATCACCCTAGTGAAATGAGGAAAGATTTGGAACTCATTTGATCAAGAATTTTGTGAATATATAACTATAAGAGCGCTTTGCAAGCACCACAATTACTGGTCATGGTGACAAATGCAAAGGCAGTGCGAGACTCGATGCACGGACCATTCAATAAACTATGCAGAACACCTAAGACACCTATGTGGACGAAAAATTAATAAAAAAACACCAGCGAGCAACGCTTTTTCACAGAAATGGGTAAGGACTATTGCCATACAAAAAAAAATATTTGAAAGGGAACTTTTTTTTGCAAAATTCTTCACAGCACACTTGGCCGGACAACAGCCAATCTTGAACAAATCTTAACCAATCAAACCCTCCGCACCCCTCCTCTTTTTCCAACCTCCAATGTAGGCTACTTTCTTGTATAGCTAATAACCACTCTTCTGAAGCTCCAATTCTTTAATTCAAATTTTACAAATTTACTGGAAACAATTTTACAAATTATGACACAAAATAAAAAATTAAAAAAATTACAATATCAGCTACATCAAAATATTTTGTGAATTGATTAAAGCTTCTCGAAACAATGCAATAATTTCTTCTTCAGCAAATTATGAATTACCTTCATCAAGAAATGTGAATAGCGGTTTCACGCGAAATATCCAGAAATCTTTTCGCACGACTTATGAAAATTCAATGGAATGATTAATCCGAAGAAAAACTAAACTATTACAAAAACAATCATAAAAAAATCAGTACTTCCGAATTCTTTCATTTAAATATACAACAATGAAATAAGACAAAATAAGCCATCTGCACGAAACACAAAAAATTATTCTCCTTTAAACATAACCCATACTCTCGGACTGTCGATATAACCTGAAACGGTTTATTGAAAATTTCACATATATGTTATACAACCATAAAACAAGCAAATTCAAATGGAACACTATTGGCCATGGAACAAACAAAGAATTTAACAGAAATCTTTATTTCCTTTAAAAAGAAAATTTTATTCATCAAAAATTCAAATGAGAGATCTTTCTTTTAACTTTTTTTCTTATCACTGTGTGTACGAAGATGATGCGATAAAAACCATTAAATAAGGAACGTTGAAAAAAAAACGAATCACATAAACTGCTAAAAGATGATTAAAAATAAATGACATAAAATTTCAACGTCTATACCGGTCTGAATGCTATCAATGAAAACATGAAGTTTAAATTACTTAAAGCCCAAAATATTGCTGATAATATTACAGCAATATTTATTTTCATATTAATAACAAAATTAGTCTTAAGATGAAAGCACCTGAAACATGAATTAACTAGTAAGCTGAAACTGCAAAATTAAACTCTTAAATAATTTAACATTCTTCGATGGTCTTAAAAATGACTGCTAACTTTTGCGGAAAAAATATGAAAAATTTGCATACCAGGCTAAAGTAGCTAAATTTTAAAACAATAAGCTATCCAAACCTTTAAACCAAACTGAACGAATTCCTAAAAAATTATATATAGCGCTTGCCAAGATATTCTCAACAAAGTTTCGAAACCTTTCGTTTAAGAAAACTGACAAACCTGCGTTTGACTCACTGGTTAGATAACCGCCATGCTCCATGAGAGTGTGATCTTTTAACGAACTCCATTCAGCACATTTGTGCTGGCATACTGAGCAAATATATCCATGTTCTTCCTTTTGATGTTCTTCCATCCAAGTGTACCGATTACACTTATAATCACAAATACGACATTCGAATTTTATTATACCAGTATGGATTCTCTCATGCGTTGTTACCTAAAAACGACTAAAACTTTGGAAAAAATTAATTAATTCATAATCAATCTTATAATCATCTTTAAATTTGATTTCACCATCATATTATCAATTAAATTTTTGCAACATACCGAACATTCACTTGTGAAAATTTCGTCACAGAAATGACATGGATAAGTTTTCGTAAAAACATGTGACATCTTCTTGTGTTTACGAAGTTTGCGTGGCGTTAAAAACTTCAAGCTACACATATTACATTTGAATCCTGAGTTGGTGCCTCTATGAAATTTTGCTCTATGATTGAGAAGCCTCTGCTGAGTACATAGATTACGCAGTGGTATACATTCAAAACACATAAATGTCTGAAAATAATTCATTGAGAAATATCTGAAAAAATAATTATTGAAAACTATTTATTGGGTTTCATTTTATCATAAGAAATTAAAGAAAAATTAACCAAGTCACAATCGTGAGTTTCCCAATCTTTTTTTGATTTGACAGCCTTAAAGCATCGAAGACACTGTATAAATTCAACAGCATCCGGATGTTTCTTCACTAAATGTTTTTTCAAGGATACTTCATTACGGAAACGTTTGTCGCAAAAAAGACACTGGGGCGAAACCTAAAATGACCCATTAATTATAGCAGCTAAAAAAAATGGGAGCGAAAAAAAACCTCACAGTACGCAAAAGTATAAAATATGTTTTTTTAAAAAATAATCCAATTCGTCAAAAAATGAATAAAACCTTTTTTTTATACGAGCGTTTAGGCTGCCGAAGAAAACCATTTTTATCAAACCGAGCTGGAACACCACCACTCAATTCTCCCGGCAACGGTATTCTTAAATGAAAAGATAATATCTAACACAGCTTCCAATTTTCTTCAAATTGATTTTGCATAATGAAACCAAAATATTAAAACAAACTTTTCTACTTCGATATCGTATCCTTCCGCAACAATTTCGGATTCAGGAGGTATGTAACCACCAGATGCGATTTCCTCAATTCGGTTCGCTTCTAATTCAGCCATCCTAAATTAATCAAATTAGTGAAAGATTTTCAAGATTTCATAAAATTTTTCTATTTGACTGAACTAAATTCGCCAAATATTTCTTCATTTCTTTCAATGAAAATATAAAATCCTTCGCCAAATTTTACAAATAGAAAAAGATTTAAGTAAATACCTCTGCTCAGCAATTTCTTCCTCTTGTTGAATAAGATAAGCAATATATTCCGTAGAATGCTTATCACGGAGATGTCGTTCATACAAATTCTTCTCAATAAATCGACTTCTACATTTTTTACAACGAACCATTTTTGAACGAACCAATTTCCGAATCTATATTTCATATGAGTTGCGAAGTTGCGAAGCACCGCGACAGAAAAAATATAAATTTTTACCGTTATTGATGAACAACAAAAAGTGAAATGTGAAATAAATTGAAAAAACCAACATCATCAGGATTTTTTGGATGAGGTGGAGGAGGTGGAAGTTCACTTAAAAGAACACCATCTTGTAATCGAATAGAAAAAGTGGTGGAATCAACAGCGGCTAAAAGAACTATATTTACGTTCTAAATTTATACTAAAAAAAAAATTTTATATATAGAAAAAAAATTGCTGAGCAAATTAAAGTATGCAAAAATAGAATGCATTTATGAATGTATTTAAAAATGTAAGAAAAAAAAATGAAAAATCAGATGACCAGAAACAAATAAGTCGATTTGGATATTGCAGAACAGAAAAAACTTCGATTTTTCTAAACTTACCTATAGTACGCACTATTTCAGGATGATAGGACCAATTCCTTTTATATACGGTATTCTCGACCTTACGCCCAAAACGGTCCAATGTAATTCTCTCTCTCGTTGAACCATTTTCAGTTCCTATCCTCGAGATCATCATTAAAAATTCGCCGACACCCGTTAAATGTGATTTTATCTAAAATATCGATTGAGGAACCTGAAAATGGCATGAAAAGAAACTTAGGATTTTTGAGAAAAGACCTTTTTCACTTCTCGTTCAAATTTTTCCAGCTGAACTGCTTTCGCCAGCATACTTCTTAATTCAATGCAATCCGCTGTGCCAGGTTGAGAAATATATCGGCCAAAATCACAATCCATACTATACTGCCTTACAACATTCGATATGTCGTCAGCTTCTAACTCTCCATCATCAATTTCATCTATTTTTTCCGAAAATTCACCAATATTCGATAAGTCATCCCTAATTTCCTGCAAGAATTGCATACAGACGTTAAAATATTGGCAAGCTAACAACTATATTTTCGCCAATTTATAAAGTCTAAAACTAATATTCTAAAACTTGTAAAAATATTTCAGGAAAAACAAATTAGATAATAATAACCTCATTCTTTGGAGATGCTATACTTGATGACGAACTCTGATCATTATCATTATCATTTGTTAAATCAATTATAATGCCCTCCTCAGATGATAAATGTTCCATCTTTGCAACATCACATTTTGAACTGCACGGCAAATCCATGTTCATTAATGAACCATTCATTTGCTTCGAAGATTTATGTTCGATCATGGAACTAATTTTTTCACCAAAAAAATTCACCTGAAGTGGAAAGAATTTAAAAAATTCAATAATAAGAAAACCTTGTTTGCACTATAAAAGGCAACAAAATAATTCAAACGACTGATTCATAAATTAATAAACAGATGGATAAGGAACAATGAACTCTTGTTCTTTTCCTCCAACTCTGTTCCTTTTCCTCTTCATTTTTGCATACCTATACTTATGCCTCTTCACTGCTTTCTTTCTTTTTAAATTTACTTTTTAATATTGCTCGCAAACAGGAGGAAATAACAACTTGTTGACAATAACTATTAAATATATAGTTATTAAATAAATAAATAAATAGAAACAGAGGAAAGCCAATCAAGACCTACAATGATGCAGTTAGAAAAAAATGAAAATAAAATTGGACCAACGATATATGGATTTCAATCGTAGAAAAAAGAATGGCTTCTATTACTGTCGACGGTAGCGACGGCAGCTTGGAAACATCTTACACTTATACATAGCTTAACCGGCCTAATGGTGTTAGAAGAAGAAAAAATAAATAAAATGAATTTTAAACTGCTGTGATAAAACAAAAATATAACCAAAAAATATACTGAAAAATCCGACTATTAGTAATATCGAAATAACTACCCCGACCTAAGAATTGAAAAAACTGACGATGTAAATCTAATCTGTCATGCACCTCATTCCAGATCAACCTGTCGCCAAAGAAACAATCTGCACCACACCCATCCCCCCGAACAACCCCCCCCCTCTTCCACACCCTTAATATTGAATTAAAAGAAATTTAAATCTGTATGATGAAATTCTATCGAAATTCCCCGGCCAATAATCATTACGGTGCTCGAAAATTGTGTCGAAACATTATCTTTTAAACTTTTCAAATTTTACAGCTCAAAATCCAAGATCGAGATGGAACAGGGTCTTGGTATTGTTGGGATTGCCAAATAACCCTGCATCTTCATACTCTAGTGATTGTGTGGTAAAAGGATACCAGCGGCGATAGCTGGACAAGAAATGGTGCACGGTGCGTTAGAAGATTTATTGCGCTTCCATGTATGCCATCGTGCAAGAACTCATGCTGCGTAAATTCCGTTCTTAGGCATTTATAATCCATTCCACCACTTTCGTCCTCTGCATATCGTAAAATTTTGCAAAATACAATTTAATAAAATATAATTATTAATTTTATTTTATTGAGTTTATTATTATTTCATGATTAATAATGAATTTAGTAATTTGATTATTCGGCTTATTTTCTTTCGTTTATTTTGGTGATTTAAAATCAACCAAAATTCACGAAATGCGATGTTTTTTCTAAAATTACTATTTCAAACCAGTGACCCGGATCCGCCAAAGAAAACTTTCATAACTTAATCAATTCTTTGTTTATTGCACTTTATAGGAATGACAAATGATTAACGGACTTGGAGAGAATCCGCGAACGTTGAACATCAAAATCGCGGCGGGCGTTGGAGGAATCGAATCCCCGACCTCTCGCATGCAAAGCGATACGTCAAATAAAGGACAACGCTCCTTATGAAAATCGCCCTTCTGTTCCTTTTAGGCGCGATCAAAGGACCCAAACGGTTGGTCCCAATATTAGTATTAATATTCAAATATTCATTTTGTTAATTTATTCCTTATCCTCTTTATTCTTTTTTTTTTGTTTTTGTCCTTTAGTATCTTTGATTTAATCGAATCTTGTTTTCCTGTCTATATATTAATCAGTTTAATTACCCAAGTTTGAGCTGGCAAATGAAAATTTTATTAATACGTGCGGTGATCAATATAATCTCCACTGTTGTCCAGATCAGATCTCTAAAATAACCTTTCTGCAAGAATGAAAATTGTACAATTGCGGCATACTTTTTTGTTGTAGGTTTCGGAGATTTAACCGTTACACTTATGATTTATTCGGTATGACGAATTCATTCCATAATATAACGTAATACGTCAACAGTAATGCAGAAAATTGTGAAAGTGAAATTCGAAAATGGTTTATCTGATCCGAAAAGACGTTTGATCGATTGCTAATAGATAAATACGTGATAAATGCGATTAAAATTTAAAATTAGTTGCAGTAGTTTTGAAAGTTCGCAACAGTTAGCTTCTGAAACCTTTAAAGAAATAAATCATTGCATCCAAGATGGATGAATAATAACAATATGAATAGCCATAGTTATATATGTTTATGTTCAGAGGTCCAATGAATGCGCTCAAAGGCAGTGGACGCCAGAATATTAAAATCTATCCAGTGAAATTTTTTTATTAGTGCGCTAGCATTTTCCATTTTTATTTTCATCTCTTTTCTTCTTCGTTTAAGCCTTTTCTTTGCTCAGTCCAAATGGCTTAAAAAATTTGCAGTTCATGTCCTAGGGAGGAAAGATGACAGCGATGTTTGCACAAAGTGACATTTTGAAATGCAGGTTTATAAGCGATTTTTTCACCATTTGAAATCAAATAGCTCGCAATCATGCTTATGTCCATGAAACAAGCTAGAAAAATTTTTAAACATGCACAGTTAAATTCTTCATCTATCTAGAAATAATAAGCAAGCGGAGGCAAATAAACTCAAACAATTTTTTTTATAAAATTCTTGCAGTAAAAATAAAATAAAAAATTATTTTTTGATTTATTTCAGCTTTTTCTTAGTTTTGGATTTTGGATTTTGGAAATTGGATTTTGGCAGAAAATTTGATTTAAGAACTTAATTATTTCTTTTATTTCAGATGCAAAAATTGGTTAATGATTCCGTAATTTCAGATTTTCTCGTTATATTTAAGACCTAACTTATACTTGAGCTGAATAATCAACAAGGATTACTAAGCAAATTAAATTAGCATAAGGATTTAGGTTTGCGAGATAATTAAGTTCGAAAGAAAGAATGAATTTCGAACTGATAAGTAAATTCATGGAATCCTAGTAAATTTATCTCGGTTTAGATAAGCTTCGCGATCATTAAACACGTTTCCATCCATGCATATTAAATAATTTATGAGGTTCAAAAGGGAAATTTTTTTGTTTCAGCGAATTATTGCTGATGAGAAATTGTAATCTGAATTATTTATGTGTGTTGAAAAATTATTTGCACTGAATCATGGCTGATCGTGCTTAATTGTTTCATCAGAACAATGCCCAAAGACAATTTACTGAGCTGAATAACGCCGGAGAAGACAATTCATCTGATTAAAACTGATGAATTCTTCCCATAATCGAATTACATTCCGAGTAAAATTTTTCAAACAATTTTTCAAACGAAATTCGCAATGCTGTACCAATAATAATTTTAATAATGGTCATGAGAAGTTGAGCTGAGCCCAGCAAAGAAACCAACGAGCATAAATTGGCAAAATTTTTATAATTTCTCAAAAATTCATTTGCAAGCAAATATTAGTAGTGAAATGCCAACAGTTATTATCTCTTCTCATATGCTTAATTTGCAGAATATTTCGAGTAAAATGCGAAATGCTCAAAAAGCGATAATAAAGATTTCGAGTTATTAGCAAACAGCAAACTGGATTATTAATTTAAGTACATCGATATATAAAAAGAATTATTTGTAATTAGTTGAACAATTCAAAAAATTTTTTTTGAGAAGAAAGAAACTCATTCGTTAACTTTCGAACACTTTTTATATATTTTTTTCTTTTCTATATTTTAATTTTTTTTATATTCTATACTTTTTATTTTTAAAATTTATTTTTAATTCTTTTCTATATTTTTTTAAATTTATTTTTTATTTTTTTCTTTTCTATAATCTTATTTTTTTCATTTTTGTTTTATTTTTCACTCCAAACAACTTGCTTAGTCCTAAAGGTATATTTTTCGCACGAATTCATCTATCATTGTGTGCCAACAATTGAGGCGTTGAAAATGGTGCAAAAAGGTCAATCAAATTCATGTAGAGGCGGCCGAGGTCAGCAGCGATTTTGAGCATATAGGTTGTCCAACGGCCGAGGAAGTTTAAAAATGCATAAATGCACCATTAGTCAGCTGAATGGTCCAAATGGTGATCAGTTTTTAAGTCAGATGAAGAAAGATAAGAAAATATAGTGGATTTTCTTCACACCTTGTTGCGATAATTTCAAAGAAAGAATTTATTAAATTCTTCATTTCATAAAGGCAAAGGCATATAAAAACATATGGAATTGGTAAACCGTTATATCCATACCGTACCAGCTTTTATACCAAAAGTTCTCAAATCCAGGAATTCTCAAATGTTCTCAAAAACAAAAACCCGTGCAATTTAGTAATAAAAATAATTACATGTGAAAACTGTTGTAACAAATTATAAAATTCATTGTTGAAGTTGTAATATTAGAGTTTATGTTTGATATGCAATAGGAACGTCAGATTTACAAATGTGATGAAAGTTTTTGCTGTTTCTGCAACCGCAATTGAATAAGATTTCTTGACAACGTATTAAATTGATAGAAAAAAATTTTTTCTACCAATTTTTCCTCATTTCTTGTGCAAACTTTTTATTCCTAAAAATTGCACGTAATTTCACGTAAATTTCATGAAAAATGAAAATAACTGTGCGCCTTCAAAGCCTTTTGGGTTCTTAAAATTTTTATTGCTTGAAAAAATAATGATATAAACATACACTTAAAAAAGTAAAAAGCCAATAAGAAACTCTACAAAAAAATAGAAACTGCAAGAAATGAATCCAAGAAAAAATACAGTATAGGTCACTAAATTTAATCATAAAATTAGTGGGCACTCTCCTTTCAGAAAAAAACTGGTTCTTTGGTCAGGCAAAGGTCAGTTAGACCTTTTTTTAAATTAAGATTGAGAATTAAAAAACTTAGGTGTTATTTTATATTACCTATTTTTTACATGAAAAAATAAATATGGCAAAAAAATTACCCTTTATTGAAACTGCATGTTTGGATCATGTTTGGATTATGGAAAGCTATCAGGAGTGGTTCTTTTATTATTTTCCTGTTTTTGACCTTAATGAAGTGAATAACTGATGGAAGTTCACTGATGGGAATGACGTGATATTGTCAATTTTCGTAATTTGGCTATTTTTTGTTAATTTGTTGAAACAAATAATAAACAGGGATAGTGCAGACGAAAGCGGCCGAAATGAAAAAGTCGAAATAGTTCAGAAAAACCTTCGAACTATTATTGCCAGAAGAATAAAATCTTAAAAATCCAAATATTAAGAGTAAATGCTTTGCGTGATGAAAGATTCAGACAATAGAAAAAAATTACTATTCAGATTAAGGGAATAAGGGAGGAAAATATTATGGGATTATGATATAGGATTAGCGAAGATTAATCAGGGTATTTAGAGAGATTCCTCGAGAGAAGATCCTCGATATTATGAAAATAGATTTAATCGACAAGAACCTTAATATTTTCCATATTTTTCATTATCAGAAATTTATCTATAAAAGAATATTTTTACCAAAAATGCCGTCTCGGATGGCGTTTAAATTCAATATCCGAATCATCATAACCATCGTTATCGAAATATCTGAAAAAAGCAACTAACATGAATAAAAAGTTTTTGACGTATCGAATGTACTTGCATAAAATGAAGCCCTTTATTCATCGAAGTATACAATGGTGCTCGGCACCAGTCAGATTAAACTTTTAATAAGAAGGTTTACTACCATCAAGAGCTAAAAATAAGACTCATGATGCCCTGAACTCGTAGATAATACCCTCAGCATATCGTCCCGAAACTGCCTTCTTTTAACTCACAAAGAATTGTTTTTCTCAAGAGCGAAGAAGAGGGAAAAATTGGAAAATTTTCGATGATATGAAATATAAATTATGCTTATCTCATTCAGAATTGACAAATTTTAATAATAAACTTGTGAACCTATTGGGACATCTCCATTCTCTTATGCAGAATCCTTCTTTGTTCCGAACAAAGCCGTTTTTACAAATGCAGCGTGGATAGTAGCACTTTGGATGATTTTCAATTGTATGACAATGAGGAGGACTGTAAAAATTTGTACAATCAAATTATTCGATAGGATTCCAAATATAAATATGAGAGTGATGCTGCCATACCTATCCCATAAAATAATCAGCTCGAGATCAACTAACAACCGCAATAATGCTACGACAATACATTTGTTGGTGATAAAAGATTACATAAAAAGGTTATGTAAAATCTGTTGATCAAAAAAAACCTGAATAAATTTTCGCATGACATTTCGCAATGAGGCTCTGGACCACAACGCACAAACCGCTCATGAGTTCGACAATCTAGTCGATTACGCTCATGACGTCTTGGAAACTTGGGAACATGGCGATGTGGCTGAAAAATATCGAAAATTTCGGACTTTTCAATACTTGAATAGCCATTAAATAACAAAATAAAATCCCATTTCTTTTCTTCATATTTGCAATGCCCATGGGTAATTAAAAATTTTGGAAGAAAATAGAAAGAATTTTGTTGAAAAAGGGTTCAAAGAAATCTGTGACAGGAATAACGATAATCACGAGATTTTTTTGGTATTCAAAAAATTTTCAATGTCAAGGTGATCTCGTCAAATGGGCAACGAAATTTAATAATTGCATAAGTAAAAAGATTTCTTGTTAAGTTAGTTCAATTGACTAGCATGGTGGGAAGTTTTTTCCAAGGAGTCAATCAGCGGTAGAAGCATAAATAGATCATCACCCTGACTTTTTAGCACTCAGTAGAAGTTAAATAGGTCGCTAGCACCACCTGGATTTTTTAATGCAAGGTTTATTTTTGTCGGTGACAGGATCCTGAATCTAAAAACAGTAATTTTTAACTTTGCCAACCATTCAGCTTATCCTTTTTGCATATGGTGATTTTTGAAATTCAGTTACAGATTAAGCATTAAATGTCAGATCTATGGAATTTCAAACCATAATTGATTGCCTTGACTTTTTTCGTGAATATGAAATGAAAAGGAATAAAGATGCTTGCGATTCCACTCGAATTAGAAAATAAACATAAAAATAGTAGCAAAAAAACGATTTTTGTTAGCTAACTGTCTATTTAAAATGCTCTGGAATTTTTTATTTTCAATTCAAAATTCTTTTTCTTTTCAGGTTATATTTGTTTTATAAGTAATGTTTGTTTTAAGCATGCACTAGGATATTATTTTATATCTAAAAAGTTGAATTAGTGGATTTTTAATGGGAAAAATAGAACAAAAAATTCACTGAAGCCATTTTTCTTATTCTTCTTCTTCCAACAAAAAAATGGTTCACACTCACCATAAGATTAAGCTGACTCAACTGGTTATGAGGAATTTTCGCCTGAGAGTCACTTGGATGCATCGCCAATATCATCCAAAATTAATGACAGATTTGCAAGGATTGAACCCCTTATACAATCTTTTTGTAATCTGTATCTTTATGTTGTATCTTTATGTAATCTGACCAATAACCACTAGGATGGATCACCTTTCTAACAACTTACATTTCTCGTACGGCTGGATCTACTGGACGATAGATATCCTTCATTTCAAAAAATGATATGAAGATTGGAGATAGGAACATAAATGAGTGCGCAATAATCAAATCTTTTGATGATGGCTTTCATTCTGTCATCAAGTCTTTTGCGCATTCTCAGTTTTTTTATTTTATCTATAAATAGAAAGAAGCCTCGAGGAAATAAATATATCAATCACAACATTCCAATAACTAAAAAAAAATCTGTAAAAGCCACAGCCATAGCAACCAATACAAATAGTTTTCGCAGGCAAAATTTTAGAACGGAAGAAAGTCGACAGACAGTAACCAACATGTTCAGCCAGTCAAGAGACCTAATATTTATGAAAATACATTCGAAATGGCCTTAGATAGGGAAAGAAAAAGATTTAAGAGGCTCCAATAAATTAGAACTAACACGACGACCAATTATTTTTAAACGTTTCCGAGCTTCGATGACTGATAGCGTTAGCAAAAATAATATTGTCAAATAAATTAAACTTCTTATGCGCATATCTGAAAGTATGCTTACTTTATTAATGTTATTTTATATCAGCGCCACATTTATTTAATAGAATAATGCCGGCGTTACGGATGGAAGAGAAATGCTTGTAAAACAATTATGCGATTACTACGATGTTCGATTGTCAAAATTTTCAAATATGATGGCAATTTGATAAATTAATGAATAAAAGGGCAAAAAATAAAATAAAAGTGAAGCGCGAGGAATTTTTACTCTTTCGTATATTTCAAAATAAATGTTTCATTATCATTTCGAGTACTATGGTTCAGTACCAGGACTAACCTATCATTAAAAATCCAGGCAATGATAAGCAGTCATTTGTACTTCAAACAGCTCCCTCCCTTGCCAAATTGTCCTATCGTATAAACAGCGAGGCAAACTAGAAACAGTGTTTGTCATTTATTTACTTATTTCATAAGCAAAACATTGCTTATATTACGTGAAAAATAGTTATCAATTTTTACTTTTACTTTAACAAAACACAAGAGAATGAAATGAAAATTAAACAAAGATCTGCAAAAATAACGAAAATCTTGGAAGTTGAAGACGAGAAAATAATAGAAGACAAAATAAATTATTATCGACAAAACGAAAAATTAATGAAAAATTTGATACTTTAGTTAAATGTTAATGTTGAATAAAATCTGTTATTCACCAGATGGCAAAACGATTAGAAATTATTTGTGCCTGCAAAAGATCTTTTAACGAATAATTTATAACTGATCAAAGCGGATTAAGAAAGCATTTCAAAAAATAATTTACATAAATCATCATTATAATTAATTTATTATTATCTTATGGCCTTCTCTCATTAAATTCATATTTTCGTTATTAGAATCTGAAAGGACCCCACTGTTCCTACAGATACTGCTAAATATTTTCCCACTATACCAGTTTAGGCTTATTTGTGAAGGAGTTTTGATATGTGTTAAAGACAAATTTCAAGTGGATTAGGAAATTTCGGCAGGGTTTCGAGTACGAATTCGTAGAACCGCAGTGGCAAGTACTTACCAACAAGGCAAAGTTTTTCGACTGGTAGAAACCATTTTTTCAAGTTTATTGTTTATTAAACCTGAGAATTATAATCGCTGGCAAAATCTTTTGAAAGCAATTATCTTACAAAATTCGCGAGTTAATAATCATAATAACCAGTATGTCTTAGAAAATTGTTATAGTGGCTCGTTCTATGAACGGACTACTAAGGTCGTCTTCAAAAGCGAGGTTTAGCCTTTGATATTAAATTTCCTACAAACACGGCAACATATTATCATGCTATCCCAATTTCGCTTAACATACCCCTCTCGCTGTACTTCAGTTTCAAAAATTTTAAAAATAAATCTCTCTTCGAACTTAAATCTGAGTGAGTAGGGTGATCGAGTGGATATCTATCGCAATGAGAGATAAGAGTTGGGATCCCTCCCTGTAGGAATGAACTTTTATTAGAAAATTTGGGTGGTACTTCTGCTGTCAAGTGAGTAGCAGAAATATACGAACGAGCAGAGTTATCCGAAAGAGAAAAAGCGAAGTCAACTTTTTTTCTACTTACATTTTTGAATTTACTTGATTTTGGACAACCGAAAAACAAAAAAGAAAAGGAGAAAAAGTATCGTTTTATGGAGAAGAATATACATTTCAATGACATAAAATTTTTAGAATGGCATTAAAACTTTTGCAACTTACTGCTCCGCCCAAATGTCAGAAAACATCAAAAACCTAGTAAAGCAAAAAGTCGGAGAAAGTTACTTTTGGAATTATGGCTGAAAATGTTAAATATTTGTTATAAACTTGAGAAAATTTGAAGATCTTTCTTTTATTAAATCATTGAAATTAAAACGCATCGAATGGTTTAAATTTATTTGTTTGTTTAAAAGGTCAAAAGTCAAACAGTATGGTAATGGCGATGTGCTAATAATTGACTTGGAGATGAAATTGGTACCATCCCAAATCTTGGCTCAATCCGATTTTAAGTGCAGTTATTTCATATTTCATATTATATTTCGTAAGGTTATTTTATTTGATATTTCAATATTTTTTTAAAAACATTCAAATATTCATCGATGCTCAAAAACTAGAGAGAAATTATTAAAAAATTTAGAAAGTATTAAAATTATTAAATAACTCCAATCGATCTTACATCAATAACGATTTCACCATTTCCATTTTGGATCGCTCCTCTTGTTTGTTGGACTAGTCAAATTTTGTTGGAGAAATTAAATTCGTTTCCCTTACGATAAAAATGTGGGGGTCGTTTGGACTTTCGAAACATTCCTATTAGGAGTAGAACTCAAGCACTGGCACTCGAAAGTGGGAACAACGACCCATTGAGCCACAAAGCTCCCACACTTAAGGTGCTAAAGACTACTTAAGGAGGTATACTTGATATACTTTGATGTACTGCAGATTTATCTTAGAAATGAAAAGAAAATTCCATTATATGGGGAGTAAAAATCAAATACATTAAAATGCCTATTCTATGAATAAATCTAATATAAAAGTGAAATGCGGTACCGGGGATCCAACTCTACTTCTACCTTCATATGACTCCGTAATAAAAAATCTCCAGCGAGCCTAGCCAGAAATGGTAAGTACAATAATTGAAAAAACTATTCTGTTTTGTTGCAGATGATAATAATTATAAAAGACGATGAGTTTTTGCTTCATTAATCGCATATGGTGAGCCGATTAAATGCCTTTTTTTCATAGATATAAATTATCTTAAAAATTTTTATGCGTAACATAATTGAAATATAAAATATCGAATAAATTACTTTGCATATTTGAATCTACATTAGAAGAATTTTTTTCCTATTTTCACGAATATTTTTAATAAAATTTTGTACAATATATAGAAAATCGAAGAAACAATTTCACATAGCCGTTGTCGTTGACAATTTCAACAATCAACTCTTACAAGAGTTTTGTCATTTGGCATCTTTTGGTGTCACATTACAAATGAGATTTTCGTGACCAAGCTGCAATTCTTAAATACTTACTAAACATTTGTTATTCGTTACTCGCAATCTCAAAACAAATAAAAATATTTTTTGTCAAAAGCATAAAATAAATTTAATTGTCGTTATTTTCATCATTATAAAACGTTTAATTATTTTTTTATAGGAAAGAAAATCGTTATCTTCTAAGCAATTAAGTGATAACCGAGTTATGTCCACAGTTATATGAGCTACAATAAGGCAGCTGCAGTCAATTATTTAATCACATCGAGCTGTTTATTTCATGATAAAAAATCCTTTTCCCATAAACCAATTATTCTTGAATTATGTTTCAGTGCTATTGAAAATTTAAAAAAAAAGAATATATAAATTATGAAATAAATGTTCAGAAAATATCGCTTTTCCCGTGCATATTGTATTTTCCAGAAATTGTTAGAATTTCTTTATGCTGACAATTTCATCAATTTCATCTAAACTCTCTTTATTTCCAATAGTTTTGCAAATCTGATAAGCTGAAATCCTTTTTGAAATCGTATGTGTTTTTAAAAGAATTTTTTCTTGATAAAGTTTTCTTGATAAAGTTGATAAAGATAAAGTAGATAAATACTTTAAAATCCTCAAAAAAATTATTAATTTGATTGATTTAAAAGAAATATTTATGGGTGAAAGAAAAATTAAGTGAAAACCACAATTTAAAATTAAAAAAATTAAAAAAAAATATTGATACTGATGTGAATTGATTGGAAAAAAACACTTCCTTGTATGAAAGAATTATAACCGTAAATTTCCCAAAATTTTTACTTTTATTTTTATGCTAATTAAGTGAGAAATAAGTGGTTGTAACTCATCATTTTTGGTAGTTAGCTCCATTGGTTGTTAATATACTTGGAAAGTGCCAGAATCACTCGGCTATAGCTTCTAAGTATAGACAGATCACCAATACACTCGTTTTACTCTATTGAGAGGAAGAGCGAAACTCTTGCCTTACAGTGCAATAATCTGACTGCTATTGAATGCTAAGTGAGCAAACATCATTCGATTGCATGACGAATAATTGCAGTATATTATAAGAATTTCACGTATTTATGTATTGAACAGCAGAAATAGTGTTGGATGAAAAAGCTGGGAGCTTTCTTTTGAGTAGCTTATGAAGGCATTGGAGTCAGCCAAATTTGAAATAAGCAGAAAATATGAATTAACAAGGCGTTCTATTAGAAGAAGAAACAGCGAACTATCAAAGGAAAAAAATTTGAAAAATTTGAATAGGACTTCGTGACCGGCATTTTGAGTTGCTTTTCATTAATATGCATTTCAAAAAGAAAAGAAAAAATGTGAAATTTATAGAAGGAGAGAAGTGATCAGATGTGTTCATTCTCGTTGATTGGAATAAACCTATCATTAACAACAAGCCCTGGTGGAGGGGGAATTTACGCTGGCCTCTCTGGCGAAAGAGTCTCACCTTAGTAATCTGGAAACAAGCCAAACCAGAAAGGAATCAAAATTAATGAATTCAGTTCGTTTAAATAATATTTACGATGTGAAATAACTAGTGAAGCATGAATAACCATATATTACTGACATGATTAGTGATATAATAAAAAGGAGATAAAATAAGAATTGAAAGGTAAATATTGATGAATGATGATTTTTGGTGAAAGGCAGTGTTGAAACTGAACGAAAAGGAAAAAATCAGCAACTGACTCGACTGGAGAGTTAAATCCATAAAAATTCGCTGCCCTCATCTTCGGACAAAATTCTTAAACTCTACAAGATGACTGTTGAAAGCAACAAATAAATGGAACTTATGCTAATGTTTTACTTTTCTTATCTCATTGCACATTTTCTTCTAACAGCACTCACTATTTTTGGTTTGGTTCAATATTTCAGTGAATAGTACTAGAACAAACGTTCTTCGTCACAGATCCATTTAGTGGTAGTAGCGTAGATGAGTCCGATTGCATGATAAACATTTTACTTTCAATAATAGATTCCCTTCAGGAGACAAGAATCGAGGATGTGATGGCTTAATTTTAGTCGAAGAAATATAGAACTTCATCATCTATCCCATTTCTTCATATCTTGAAAGAAAAGATATAAAAGAAAAGATATAAGCCAAAAATACCATTGCATATGACGAACGACATAAATTTTGATTTCTTTTTCTAGGAGTGCGTCATTTTTTGTTAGACTCACTCCACTGGCTTGACGGACCAGACAAATTTCCATCTGTGCTAATAAGGTGGAGAGAATCTTGGCGACAGAAGTGCAGATGAACTGCCAGCATCATGCGGCGATGCAGGATTAGAACTCCAACCTAAACCACTCAACTTCTAATGACGGGTTTGGCAAAAACGGAACCGTGGCAGCCGAGATGATAATCTTATTAGCATTGATGAATCATTATCACCGGTAACGTTTCAGACACTCAAACAAACGAAGTAAAACAAAATAGTCAAAGTAAGAAAAAACTGTTTCGATCATAGTTTGATTTAATGCAACCGCAAATCAAAAAATAAGCAATAAAAATTCGATAATTCACCAAATTTGATTGTTTCCTAGCGGCAATAAATGAACTTTATGGCACATTTCATGCAACTGATGATGAGAAACTAATTTTTGAAGTTAAAAAGTTTGTTGATAAAGAATGTTGCACTGCAACCACAGAAATAACCAGCGAGCCTCATCGCTTTACTCTCAAATCAAATTTTATTAGTTTAAATCGATCACCAAAAAAACTTTCGATCACTAAAATTGATTTCCTTGCTGAAAAATTCTTCCAATTTCGAAAAATTCATAAAAAAACATGAATGTATATTTACAAAATTTTGCTTGATAATGCAGATTTCGCCTAATAAACTGAAATCGTTAGTAATTTTTTTGCTTATTAGTAATTTTATCTGTTGACGGCCTCATTAATTTAATGTGTCCTCTGAAACTACAAAAAATAAGAAAATTGTGTAAACAATAGATTCATTAAATGGTTCAATTGCGTAAGCACGAATTTAAATCAACAGCGCCACTGAAAGTACGATCCGAGTGATTGCTCAACCGCCAACTATTTCCTAATACCCAAATACACCCTATAGCCCCTGCCAAGTGACATAGCAGCCACCCAGGAACCCCGTCCTGTACCGCAAATTCCAAGAATCACTTTATTGCTTTATCAGAATTTTAATATCGTATATTAAAAGTCGGAACATGACGACCGATATGAAGCGACTCGAATTTATGCCAAAGCAACGAAATGGACTTCGTCATGAAATACGATTATTAAAAACAAATTTTTGTACTAATCTCATAAAATGAATTTCTACCAATGGTTTTAGCAGTTTCACTCACTGGAAAGGAAAATATGATGAAAAGTTGCAATTTCAAACAATTGCCAAAGTTGCAAATTCGTTTTGCAGTTTTTTTTCGTTTTTTTAATTTCAAAAAAAAATTGATAAAAATTGATTAAATTGAAACTCAATATATATATATATATATATATATATTGATGTATAAGGCAATCAAGTATCGCTTTCTTCAAACTACCGATTCTCACTTATACTGCCATTGAAGTCGAAAATAATTTTTCGATTTCCTTTCATAAAAGGAAATGAGAAAAAGAACAGAAAACCCGATTTCTGCCAAGTTGAAATAACTAATCAATTCTATCATCGACATTAAAATCTAAAGATTCAAATGCCAATATGCTGATTGCAATGCCATTGCCAGTATTGCAGCCAAAATTTAGCAGCAAAGGCTATTAAATAACAAATACTGAATTTCGAACAGATTTCAAAAATGGAACGGATTGGCAAACGATGATTTGGAAGAGAAATATTTAAGGCTTTTACATTTATTTTTCTATTCATTCCACTCTGCTTGTGGTTTAGAAAAAAACTGTCATAAGTACACTAATTTTTTTCCGATTTCTTGCTAAGTTTTCCTAAATTTTGCTGAGTAACATCTACATATTACTGTATTATAAGATCATCATTTCTTTACGCGCTCTTCAGCTTTTCAATACCATTGCCCTATACTTATCACAAATGGATCTAGTTTATCGTGAAAAAGAAAATGAAGCATTCTTTAAGATTTGATTAACTATAGCAAAAAACATTTGTGCCAATTTTTATAGAACTGAATTGAGCATATACGACAAGAACAATGAATTTATTCCAACTGGTTCGAGATTTAAAATTTAAAAATCTGGGAAAAGCTCAGAAAAAATTTGAGTAAAAAACTTATTAGCTAATCTGGGAAAAATTTTTTGCTGAAAGAAGGAAGATTACAATTTATGCAATATAGCGAACACCATATAAATTATACAGGAAAAATCAAAAATGAATCAAGATCATCTAATTCACTGACCCTAAAGCAAATAAAATAATGAGTTAAAGTGAAAGAAGAAAATGATTGCAAAAGATCGCAAAATCCGATCGCAAACTATTGTTAATAAAATTCTTAAAGCGACCAGACCATTTCGAATGCCTTGGTTATTCCGACATCATTCTGATTGAAATGTAATAAACCTGCCAACAACATTGCCGTGATAAAATAAGCACCAATTCGTACCGCTTTTGCTAACGGTTCGCCCAAAACAAACGGACGCCCATAATCCTGAATTTGCCACTTAACATTTTTGGTATAAACTTCTTAACAAAATTTTGATCTTTATTTTGGACAAAAAGCATATATCATAACAATTTTTAAAGTTTTTCAAGATTCAATTATATTTTCAAAATATGCGAAATAGTAGAAAAAAAATGAATTAACAGGTAGTAACACTCGTAAAAAAGGATGAAAAATGCAGGCTCTAATAATTTTGGAAGTGCTCTTTTTTTTTTACACTACCACAAATTTAGATAATAAAAAATGATTGACCATATAGGATGATTAAACCTCTACTAACAAAGTTGCTAGCTATATTATTACTAACTAACTTGCATAATTATTTTATGCAGCACCAAAATAAAGAACAAAAGCTGGATATATATTTTCAGCAATTTTTTGGGCATTCCATTCATTTAATGGGCATATTATTTTATAAATCAGAAATTATATAACAACTAAATGATGCTTTTACAATCATTCTTTAGAATTTTCAAATAAAAAAAACTCACACTGATCACGCCATAGACTCCCCAGTGAATATGCAGAGTTAAAGCAAAAGTTAACATGGCATCCATTGTTGGCCCATGAATAAAATATGCAGCTGGGAAAAGTGGTACCATTGCTGCAGCAAAATAACGCTCCATTTTGAAACCGAATCCATGACTATGAAGAGGTTTCGCAGTCTTTTCAGCCCTTAAATATTTCAAGTAAAAACTGGAGAATTAAGATTTATCCATATGTTAGGTCAACATTGCTATACATCTATAAGATTACTATACACTTTTGTATTTTTTCTAAAGCTTGAATTATATATTATACTTATTATATTTTATGAAAGCAGTAGTAGTTTTTATCGGATTTAAAACGTTGAATATTTACTACAGAAACGTATATAGAATATTTTAACCCGTTTAAATCAAAAACCAATAACTTCAAATTCAAATTAGATCTGCAAAACGGAAAATTATTATGGCTTATTAAAAATGTTTGTACTTCGAAATTATTAAATGTATTATATGTATGTAAATGTAAATGTGTAAAAATGTATTTCGAAATATTAGTCGAAAATTTTTGTTGGATAGCAAAATAAAACTAAAGTATCGATATAATATATGCCGTCGTAAATTTCAAAATGAACTTACGCAATCGGATCATACTGTGGTGGAGCACCAGCTGAAGTTGCGGCAACTGTAGTAGTGGTACGAAATGATGGACGAGCAAGACGAACTGCAAGAGGGAGAGAACGTCGAATAGCAAACATGATCGAACATGAAAACGATATCACTGTTGTTATAATTACCACAATTTCCAAACATGCCGTTACACTTAGTGGCTGGTTGAATGGCTGTTTTTTCTGTACCACATTGCTCTTTGCACCAAAATAAACTGACTTTTGACGAAAAAATTTACGCCCAGGATCACCGAGATAGCTACTTTAAGCAAAACACCCCTTCAGTCATTTTGCCCTCGAAATCAAAAACGTGAAACTTTATTGCTCTTCTCTTCTTCTTACTTCCCTTCAATCGTTCACCCTTGCTTTCTCTGCCTTATTCTTATTCTCTTCGATAAAAATAATCACAAAAATAAAAATAATAATCATGGAAAATTCATTTTTATTTTAATTTTAAACGTTTATCTCTCATAGCAATCATTTCTTATAATATAGTACTTCAATTAAATTTAATTATTGTATGAAAAAGAGAAAGTGCTTATTTCTTCGATTTTATCAAATTAAAAGGAAATGATTATGAATTCGCCCCCAGTTTTCCAGAAAAATTACCAATAATTTTACCTTTACAGTTAACCCCCGTAGCGCTACACTATGTCCTTTTCCAAATACAATCTTTTACTAGAAACAATTAAATTCTCATTCATATCCAATTAGTGTGCAATGTCGATGGCTCAATGATGAGATAATTTTCACCGAAAACCAAGGCTTGGATCAGAATCAACCGATCCGCATCATTTATCGATGGACGGCAATGTCGTCTAACTAATCAATTAGAAACGCCGGTGCTGAGGCTCTACTCCTGGCAAGAATGGACTTGTCCAAAAATACGGGTGATACTGGCGACTCATCTGCACTTCTGTCGTCGAAGGACTCATATTCGCCTATTAGTGAAGCTAGCCTACAATTATAAAATTATTAACCCATCTTACCACCCAAGAAAATCGACCCATTTCGATAAAAACACTCCAGATCGATTGACCACCTCACTCAAACACGTTCGCACATTGAATTCAAGGCATCGTTTCCAAACAATCACTTTAGGACCAATTAATTTGAAACAATTGGAAAAAACAATAATTATTAAAAATAGTGATATATAAATAAATAATCATTTTCATGCATTCATTTATGGTTTTGAAGTTCAAGTTCTTATAATATAACATCGAAGAGGAATTTTTTAGCGACTAAGCTGGTTCTGCTGATAACCCGAATGAAACCCACTAAGGCAAAAATAATGCAAGAATAACAGTATTTCCAGCATAGATTTTATTTTAACTGCAGATTCATTTCCTTTAAGGCACACATTCAACAAATTCCTTTCGCTAAAACAACATAGGGTCCAATAAATTTTCACAGTTTGATAACGCCTCATTCCTTTGGTCAGTGGAGCCAGCTTAACCAGTAATGATATACTGTCTCATAAGCATTTTTATTCATCGACGTGCACCAAGATATGAACCAGTCTCTCATTTGTGCGTAACTACATGTTAGAGTGAGTTGTACACATAGCACTTGATAGCACTCAAGTTGAATCGGTCCAGAGCGTAATACGGATCTAAAACACTGATGGTGTTGTCCTCTTCACTGACAGTTACGAGGAATTGCAAAGGACACTAGATTGGAAAACGATGGTAGTAATGAAAATTGACTTCATATCCACAAACAAAAAGAAACTCTTAAACTCTTTTATACAATAGATGCCGATAAAATTAGTTTCTGAATTCAACAACGGTTCAAGAAATATATAAATAAAAATATATAAATATCAGTTCTAAACTAAACAAAGATAAAATTTCAGTTCAAATAACTGTAGCTAGAGGTACCTTCTTTCACCTAGCGAAATCTTTTTGGAATCGCCACGATGGCTACCTCAAAACGATAGTTTGCATCTATCTGGCTGTAGTGTCGACAACCCTATAACACGACACAAAACATTGAGAATGGAAAATATCTACTTTTGACCATAAGCCTAAGATATGCTATGTGCCCACTAGACGGACAGAGTCCAACTTAACTCCACCCAGTTTCGCTCGAAAGTCATTTGAATATTGTCACTTGCCACTGGTTAGGCAATGCTCTTCGTCTTTCACCACGGGAACTAATGCACATTTCACTCGCTAAACCTTGTATCGTCAAGAATAAGAAAGGATCGATGAAATCCTAGACTGATATGGTCAGAAGGGATTTTGAACTTGTTTTTTTTTAGCCTACTAACATGGGTTTAGACCGAGAAAAAAGGAGTGGTTTCAATAATGGCATCGGAAATTTGGAAACCTTATCCTAGTCGCCAGTAAACCAGAAATAGCGGAAGCCGATAGAAGAAGCATACTATGTAAAAGCAAAAACGAAAATATTAATATTAATAAAATAATATAAATATTAATATATTAATATTAATATATTAATAATATTATTAATAATATTAATAATAAAGGCATCTTTAATTCTTTAGATATTATTGAGCCTTTTTATTCAGTGGGAAAACCCTTCAATAATTTTTGCAACATCTTTGAATGAAACATCTTGTGAGCCACGCTTTGCCAATTTTGGTGAATTTGGCCCTGGTCGCCAACCGATAAACGACAAAACTTGAAATGTTGCTGGATATGAGCCATCATCTTTTGCAAACATTACTCTAAAAAATACAATCAAACAGAGAAATTGGTGAAAAGAAATTGCCTCTAACTATTTTTTCTAAAAAATTTGCTAACGCATGATATCTACTTTTTAAAATTTATTTTGTTATGTTTTAAAGTTTTTATTTATTTATTTAATTTATTCAACAAAGTTGGTTCATTTATTAGATCCGAAAATTTTCCCAAAAAATCTAAGAAAAACCTAAGATGAAATTTTAAATAAGGAACAGAACTTATAAACAGCTTCAGCAGCTACAATAACATCGGTGCGAAGATGAGATCTATTCCTTGTTGCATTTGATTCACCCATACATTGAAGATCAAATAAGAGAGAAAAAACATCTGGATAATTAATCTAAATGAAACATACTTATCGAATTTTTCGCATATAATTTTTTTGGAACTTAAATGAATAAATACAATTTGAAGTATTATTTTAACTACATAAACAAAATAGCAAAAAATTTTCGAAAACATTGTATAAGATTCGATAGATGAAGATCAAAATACAACTTCAATTTCATCCATATCTAATGTTATCATTTCGAAACCAGCATGATGCATTAGACTTCCGATATCATGCGGCTGAACAAATGGTGATATGTGCGAACCAATTCCGCCAAGCCTTTCAGTTTCAGCAAGTTGAATGGAAACACGAAGCTCATGTAGAGTATCAGCAGCTAATACAGCACCTATTAAGGGACAATCAGGCCGTAAAATCGAAAAACAACGAGCAAACCTGAAAAATTCTTTAAGCATTAACTGCGATAAAAGCGATAATCACCATTAGAATTATTATATTTTCTAAAAAAATAACTGAATTAATCAACTAATGTAAAATTAAAAAATATGGATTATAAAAACCATTTAGGCAAATCATTAATCCAATGAGCGCTGAGGCTTGAAATTATTAGATCTGCCGATTGATCACGAAAAGGAGCTAATTCTTCGTCTGCAACAATGCGTTCAGTGAATACCTCGACATCAGCAGCAGATTTGCTATGGTAAACCATTTCTGAACTCATATCACACTGAATCAAGACGTTAGCGTTTTCCTAAACATGTTTCGTTTTAATTTCTTTAAACTTAAACGAGCGATCAACAGCAAGAATTATTCAAGATTTTGCTTCAAGATTTCAAATCATTCCCGAAAACACAAAAATACAGATGAATTAAGCGTTTCTGAAACCATAGCAAATTAAAAGATAGCAAAAAGATCGCTGTCAGTTGAGAGAAGAAAATCTAATATCAGCCAAGAAACACTACACGGCCATGGAGATAATTAAACAGCTATATCGCCAGGCGATTCTCTGGCAAAGAAATCATAGAAATGATTCATTCCAGCAGATACACATTATGCAAAGTAGACGTGGCATATGCTGTCAGAAAAACCAATGAGCATTTCCCATGCTTAACATCGTAAATAAGCCGGTATTTTTGAATGCAAATTTGCGAATATTGTCAATTAAAGAAAATCGCTTATATGTCTAATTATAAATTAAAATCTCTTTCTTCATTAAACAGGAAAGAATGATCAGAGTGTTTATTTGGTCGTTTTTGTTCGTTGGGTAGTTTGAAACTCGGTTGGTTTATTAGTCAGTCAGCCAGTTTCTTCAATACGTCCTTCATATTCAATCGTAATCCTACTTTTCAATTCGTTATTATAATTGATATTATTTTGCACATTGTTCTATTATATTGGTATCTGGTCAATAATAAAATCTACGACCAGCTGTATATTCTAATTCCAATTATTCTAATTCTAATTCTAATTAGTGAAAGAGTCGACAAGTACGCAAGTAACTTCTTTCAAAAATTTTGTTTTTTTTCTTCTTTCTGAATTAATAAAACTTTTCACGACATATGCTCTTTTACAAGTAACAAATTAAAATACTTGGAATTTTACGAAAATTTTAAAAATTTCAAATTTTTTAGCATACTTTTATAATATTTGAGGCAATATGACCACCTCCACATCCCAAATCGATACAAACGTTGTTGAACTTCGTTAAATCGAATATTTTATCCACTAGGCGACAAGCAACTTCATCCTCGATTTATATTTAAGTAAAATATTTTACAAGAATTGTCTCTCTATCGCAAAAAAATATAGAAAATAAATTACTCAAATAATTGCTGTGAATCAGCTTTTCACTTTCCTACAATAATTTTTCATACGTTTTTTTTACTATCTTGATTTAGCAAGATTCCATTCCCTTTTTTTGTATTCTAAAAAATTAATTCAGCGTGTGAAACCTCTTATCATGTAACGAATCTCGTATCTATTAAGGCTATAATCAGACAACTATAGTTTTTGTGCACATATTTGTAAAATATTCGTTGCATGCCATTCCCACTAAATGTTTTTTTTTTATGCAATCAAACACTTATATATATATATATATATATATGCGTGTAAAATAGGCTCACATTGAAGTTGTTGAAGTTGAAGTAGCTAAAGTCGAACCTGCTTTATTTTATTTTCTTTTTTTAAATAACTTTTAATTTTTATTCATCTTATGTTGAACCACATATTATTCATAAGAATTTTAAAATAATTTTTTCTTGAACATTTCAATAAAATAAAATAAAATTAAATAAAAAATACCTTCAAATAATTACAAACATCGTAAAGATCGGTGTTGACTGCTCGATTCCTTTGCATTCGTTTCGACCGACGATCAAAGACAAATACATTTTCTGAAATCGTAGATAAGCACTGACAATCCTGTACAGTGCTATAAGCAAAAGATAAGTTTTTGATAAAACGACTTATTCGCTTATGAACAATCGTCATCTCTGATCGATAAAGTTAAAACAGCATTTGGCGATCCGTATTTCTGCAATCTTGAACAACAGCTTTTTAAATTCTATAAGATAATTCTATGAAATTCTAGTAAAGATCTAACATCTCGCACCACTACTGGCTCTACATCCGATACTCAGAAAACAAATCTTCGAAACCATAGTTTTTGGTATTATCTAAACCCATATATCACAATTGCATTTCTTTTAACCAAATCAGATTCAGCTGCTTCTCCTCGTTTTTGATGGCATCTATCAGAGCTTTGCAAATAATATAAATAATGAGTTATGCGTTAAGTACCATTCACGCCGTATTAATATTAAGAATTTTAGTAAATCGGCTTTATCCGTCACACGTTTATAATATAAAATATGCATTTTACAGCTAAATAAATTGCACATAAAAAATTAAAGGAAATAAAACCAAATGTTTATTCCAAATAAATCCCAAAAAAGCAATAAATAAAAATATTAATATAACATACTCATTAATAAAAGAACCGAAATTCAGCTCAACAAAATGAGTTAATAACGAGAAAATATAGAAATGAAAGCCTCAAATAACACCATCAATATGATTAAACTTGGAAGATAATAAGAAAAATCGTAAGCCGTTTTTCAATTCTTATGAACCTCAGTGTACTGTATAATATTAACTAATTATTGCATTTAATGTGGTAATCCATTACGACTAACAGCTTTTCCCAGCACAGTCAGTCATCTTAATCTCCTAATCTGAAAAACAAAACAAAACTAACCAAGGGTTTTACAGCGATGAGACAACCATCCTTGAGGAAAACGAGAATCAATGTTGAAATAAACGAGCAGATGAACCGACAGAATAAAAATTAGATTTAAGTGCATTTTTTATCTCTTTATATCGATTTAAAAAATGAAGCAAATTAAAATAAAATAAATAAATAAAATTTTTAGATAAATAAATAAATAAAGTTAAATAAATAAAATTTAAAAATTGAATTCCAATTATAATCTTATTAATTCCCAAATTCCGAATATTCTTCCAAATAATTACTTATTTTTCTCACTATTATCCTTTTTTATTACAATTACATTACTATTACTCTTCTAATCTTTGTGCTAAAAATTAAATTTCCTTATATTTACATCCTTGACTTCGGGATCGTTCATCAAGTACAACGATAATAAATATGCATAGATGCAAGACATGCAACATTCCGGAGCTTAATGGCGTTGATGGATAGGTATTCCAACACAATTCCATTCCAAATAGGATCGATAAACTTTAAAGGAATAATAATAAATGAAATCTGGTTCTTATACTATAAATTTAAGTCCAAATTTGCCAATATTATAAATTCCAAAATGTCCACTGCATTATGAGGAAAAACGATTAATTTGATTTCAAAAATATGCAAAAAATTTTATATGAATATTACATTTTATCATTAGAAATTTCCCAATTCCTTAAAGAACTCAAGGAATACTTAAGGAAAACTAGTTTGAAAAAAAATGAAAAGTTCTAAAAACGAACCGCAAAATTATTGATAACCATGACTGATCATATCTGAAATAAAAAATTGACAAATTGACAACAATTTAAAAATCATCAACTGGCAAAAAAACAATATCTTCGACAATCCTATCTCCTTTCTCCTCCACCAAAAAACGAAAAAAAACAATCTAAAATTTTGAAATTTTACGTTCAAACAATTTATCAAGAAAAGTTCCTTATAAACAATTTAAAAATTCAAAGTAACAGAAATAAAATTTAAGAATATCGAAACAAACTCCGCGAAAAAACTTTTATTTTCATGATCAGAACGTATTGATGAAAATAGAAGGTATGGCAAAGAGTGAAAGTACCAAATATAAAACTGATAATGCAATGAACGAGCAACTGCGATACCGATAAAATTTGCGGTAAATAATGCGAATAAAATATCTAAAAAAAAATATGTGAAAAAATATGGATATCAATATTTTAAAAAATAATGGGTTTGATTCTCATCATTTAAATACAATTGTGATACCATTTGTAGATGTTTTAACACCAATTCCTCGAAATACCTTCAAAAGCGAACGGGGAAGTCCTCCCGAGTCTCTAAAATACATCCAGCTTAAATAGAATATCTCGCTTTATTTTTCAGAACATTTTTTTAAAATTTCAAATAATCATCTTGTCCCCTTATGCTATCTCGAACTCCTCCTTATGCTATCTCGAACTCATATCAAGCAAGACTAAGTATTGAAGTACTCAATATAATATACCAAGTGGCATTAAAACTGACGAACTCCACCACATCTTTTCTTTTTCATTCTTTTCTTCTTTGACTAAATTTGCGAATCACTAATTACATTCACTGATTTTGTATATCAATTAATCAATTAGTCATTATAATATATCGCAACAACGCAAAAATTACCAGTGACTTTACAAACAAATAATAAATAAGAACCTGAACCAGAATAAGCCCGCAAATATGATTAATAAAACAGCATGAAGAATTAATAACAGCAAGTGAAATCGCTTGTCCAAAAATCCAGATTCACTTAGGAATCGCCAATTAACTGTCCATTCGAAAAGAAACACTCGACCCAGATCAAATGAACGCTTAAGATATGAAAGCGAATCATGCATCAAAAATGGTAATGCTACTGCAATCTGTAAAATTTTTCCAAAATGAAATACGAGTCTACTAGTCTATTTTATTTTTAAAATTTTATTTTATTTATTTTTAAAAAAAATAAAAGAAAATGAATAAATAAGGAAATCAATAACCTGAATCAATCCGCAAAAAAATAAAAGTTTTATGGTTTTTCGGATTCCTCTATGGAGCAAAAAAATAAAGAAAACAGCTGGAGCAAAAAGAAGAATGTTCATTTTAACCGACACAGCTAAACTGAAAAAAACAGATATCAAGAGATTATTCCCATTCCCAAAAGTGAAAATTAAAAATGTATATTCATCTGCGAAGAAAATGCCAACCAAGTAATTCTCTTAAAAATTTACAGTATAAATAAGTTCGTTCTCAAGTCAGAGCAACATTGCTGACTATTATACGAGCTGACAGGCATCAGTTACCACTCACTTTAACTATGTCTCATTAATTTCAGATCTGTGATTCTGATTTAAACTACATAACGCTGAATATTCTACTGCATTCGATGCGAATAAAGTTGATTTATTATTATTACTTATTATAATTAAGGATAGAATGGCTCAATAGGTTGTTGGAGCACCGATGATGAGGTTCTATTCCCCACATGAGATAACCTATCCAAAAATCGGGATGATGCTGGCAACTCACCTATACTTCTATCGCCAAGGAATTCCTGGCATATATTCAATGCGACAAGGCACCAGAGGAAGTTTAACCAGTAATGATAAGGACTCTTCAAAAAAAGAAATTTATAATTACTATTATCATTATAATCATAATCCATTAATTAGATGTATAATTAATTCAATTAATTCATTCGCCAGAATAAAAAATTGAGCAAAAAATTAATCTTCATTCACTCATGAAGCTACGATTAATAAGTAAGAGGCATCAGCAGAGTTTCATTTCCGATTCACATTTCCGATCTTGGAATAATCATGGATAAAAATCTCCATTTCGATTTTCACTGCAGAACCATAGTAAAGAAATCCTCAAAAATACTAAATTTTATTTTTCGTTCGTTTAAAAATTTAAAAACAAAGCTGAAGATTTTCTTAATGTAATGTACAAAGCGTTCGTTCGGCCACTTCTTGACTACATGTTACTTCCCAAGATATCGCAAATTAAGTAAAATAACTGAAGAACTCCAAAAATATTTTATACGACGCCTCTTTCCTAATTATAATTTTAATTGTAAAAGAAAACTTCTACAATATAACCTGGATTCTCTATCAGCACGTCGTATTAAACAAGATTTAATTTATACTTATAAGTTTCTGCATGGTATGGTTATGCTAAACTAGATTGTTCAAAATATTATAATTTTAGTATAATTTTAGGCTAAATTTAAATCCAACAAGAACTTATGGGCTACTAAAATTACTAAAACCTTTGTGCAAAACTAAACTAAGGACTCATGATTTATTTATTCGTAATATTCGTAATATTAATTACTGGACTAAACTACCGAACGATATAGCTTGTGCGCCAACCCTAGCTATCTTTAAAAAAAATTAGATAATATCATTTATGATATTATTTAAAAAGTTCACATCATGTAGTAAGTATGAAATCTCGATTATTACCATCCAATTATAGTTTTAGTTATAGTTTCGAATAGCACTATATTATATTATCTTGTAATTTCCTCTTTATTTCATTTTTAAATTGTTAATTTTATTTTATTTTTGTCATTATCATAAATTAATTTTTTGTCATTAATTCTTATTATTTATTATTTTAACTATTGTTATTAATACAAGCATTTGCTCTCTGCTTGGCTGGTTTTCAATAAATCAATATATAATAGTTACTTCGAAAATTGTGTTATATTACTAATTGTACTATATTTTGTTTCCTCTTAATTTCTTCTTTAGATTGCTAATTTTTGTTATATTTTCTTTTTATTTTCTTTATATTAATTATTATTATTTGTTATTTTAACAGTTGTTATTAATACAAGCACATGGCGTTTGCCACCATGCTTGCCTAGTTTTCAATAAATTAATAAGTAAGCTAAAACCATTAGACTTATCATTTGCATTTAAGTTCGCTTCACTCTGATACGGTTACGAAAGATTTTGAAAGTATTGGCGGACCAGCAATATGTGGAGTAGACGATGAAAAAAGGAATGGCTTCTATTACAGTCGAAGATGGCTTCGGACCGAGTAGTAGCTTTTATCCTTGTAGCCAGCGGAGTCAGCTTAACCAGTAACGGTGAGAGTTGTTAGAAGAAAAAGAACGCTCCAAAAACTATTGGTTGTTTAGACAAGACAATTTTGCTGGATAGTCCAAAGAGGACAGAAGTATAATTGGGTCCTAGATTCGGATTTTTTAAGACAGAGATGGCCAATGAACAACGATATTCGATTTGATAACTTAAGCAACAATTATCCCGTTATTCTGACCATACACCAATAGTAAGGGAGCAATGTGCAGAGGTAAAGACAATAATGAAAAAAAGAAACCTGTAAAATAAGGAACCAAATATCCAGTAGTGATTTAGCCAAAGATTTACTCCAACATAAAAAAGAAACATTGCGATTGGATCATTAAAAAGGCGAAGAAGAAAAATTGAATGAATACGATATGATGTAGTGCACAGAGGAATAAGAACAAAAGGCGGAATCTAAATTTATAATTTTAATTATTAATTTGTGATTTTTATATTAATTAATTTTGATCGAAATTTTGGTGATAATTAGATTTGGTGATTTGGTGTTAGAAAAAGTACCTGAAAATGGTTATTAAAAGTTAAATAAATAATCAAGAGTTTAAAGAGATATGAATTCATTCATTCATTTGGCCACTTTTTGGCAACCTTTTCATCAAAAGCCAGCTATCTTCCAATTAATAAACTGATAGCTCTTGAATTAATTTTTATCGACTGAATGTGGTTTCTTTATTTTATAAGTTTAATGTTTTTGATATATCTCCACAATTTTAATATCCACTTATCATAATCCATAAAAAAGCATCTTCATTTAATCAAAATCAGATCCTATATATTTAAAAAGAAAATTTCAATTTTAGAACAGTTTTTTGCGTATTAAATCCAGTGTGGGTTTTGGAACGAGGAATACAAACTGAATACAGTCTTCTACGAAATTTTTGATGAGTACTATTTATGACAAAGATTTTAAAATATTTTATTAATCAATCCTTTTTTTCCCCATAACATCGTCTTATAACAATGATTTTTATCAAAAATAAAATTTAAAAAAACCTTCGATGAGCGATAATAAATTGCGAATACAGCCAATAAATTCGCCATATAAAGGGCCTCAAAAATATATTGCGCACGACGTATATTTAGTCCTTTATCCGTTAGGGCATAAAGCAATCGATAGATTAACAGATGACCCGCTGGATAACTAAAAGATTATTAAAATTAACTAAAAATGATTTCATTTGACAACTTAAAATCCCACTAAAAAACGAAAAAATTCACCACAACTAAAACTTATAAAAAACTGATAAAAGAAATTGGAAGCAATAATATAAAATAATAGCTATAAATTAGATAAAAGTTAAACAATTAAACAATTTGAATAACTTAAGACAATTTGAATAAATAATAACTTAAGAAATTTGAAGTTGAAAAACAATTTGAATAAATAATAACTTAACAGATGACTTAAAAGAAAATAGACACTGACATGATGCAAATTAGAATAATTCAATCAATTATGTCAATAAATATTCCATAAATAAGTTTTTTTAAAAGCATAGAATAAGAAAATAAGAAAACTAACACAATCGGTCCAGTACTTCCATTAATTAACGAGTAATCATATGTCCCATTCAAATAACATTCGACTTGTTGCATATATGTCGACCAATCGATCTCCGTATCTTGAAAATTTTGCAAAAAATTTAAAAAATTAAAAAAATTAAAAAACTAAAATTTAGAAAAAAATACATATTTAAAAATTTACTCTATTTTGAATCAGTCACTGGTCAGTCGACATTCCATTATCTTCGAAGCAAAGAAAATTAAAATAGAAATTAATACCTACAAGGAATATTCCAAATTATCGCAGTGCATAGGATAACCTCGGCAAGCATTAAAATCACTGATATAGCAATGAATCCTTTCGAATTCACAATGAAAAAAAAACGAACAACATTGGAAAACACCATTCTGCAAATAATTACAATTTAGCAAATTTCAGTAAAAATGAAAAAGAAATAAAAGGAATATATTTATAAAACAAATGGAAAATTAGAGGAAAGATAATTTCCCTTCCCTAAGCCAATATTCGCTAAATCAAAAATATCTAATGAAATTAAAGAACCGCAATTTCAATATTTTGCTCATATTTTATTTTATAAATTTACTTTGCAAATTGTCGTGCAAATTTAGATACAAGAATGCAAACCAGCTTATTTTTATGATATATTGAGAAAAATCTCGATATAAATTTATTGATAAATATAATGGAAAATACAATTCACTTATTATAATATGCGAGTAACAAACAAAATATATAAAATATATAAAGAAATTTCTTTTTCGCCGAATGTTCTTATAACCTGAACTGGATCAGAAATTTAAAGTGGCAATGTTTAATAGATGCTTGAAGCGAGCTTTGCCAGAAATGATATGCGATAACTACTCATACATTCGAACTATTCACTGAAATGCGCAAAATGCTTTGCAAAAAAAAAAAAACATCGAATAACGAATGAATATGCATTAACATAATAATATAATAGGCACAATAGGCATCAAATATGCATGTATTATATATTATGCAAATGAAAAAAGTTAAAAATGAAAATGTTTATATTTACCAATAGAAAAAATGACAATAAAAGAATGAAGACGGAATTTTTCAACGTCTATATCTGTACCTCTTGAAGAAAAACCATAACTGAAAAATACCCTTGGCAAATTGGCACTTATATCCATGCTTATGACTTATTTCCCATTCCCTATTTACACATTTGAAAGCAATATCTTCATACGGCGGCCCAGCGTGAAACCTTAGGATTGCGAAATCGGGATCATCACAAGGTGTAATAGTAAAAGTTGGAGTCTGATTTGTATCCAAAAGATCGGGATAGAAAATCTGAAACAAAATATAAATAGAATAAAAATTCAGCCTTCTAATGAAGAAAAAAAGCATGCTGGATGCTAACATTAAATCGATATCCTTGAACGATCTTTGGTGGTGGATTATCCATGTCATAATGAGTTTGATTATATTTGTTCCATTCAAAACCAGTGTGAACACGATTGAAATACCTTAAATATTTATGTCCAAATTAAACTCGATAATTCGATAAATTGCATAAATAAACTTGATATCAATCTAACTGGAAAAATTATAAAAAATAAATAAATTATAAAAAATTTACCTTGGTTTCCTAGGTCGATATTTCTCAGACCATAGAAATGTTTGAGCTTCTAATGGTGTTTCTACCGCAAACGAAGCTTCATCCGTTCCCATTCCCTTGCGAGCTTCTCTTTCCATTTCTTGTTCAAGTAACTGAAATTTAACATTATTGTTAAGATAAAAGAATAAACGAATATTTACAAGTATAACTTAAAAGATATGAAAAACCGATAATTCCGCAGTATTGGAAGAAATGTTTTCTCGATCAGCTTCCTCCATCATATCATTTCGTTTTTTCAAATCTTCGTCTTCATCCAAAATTTCAATTCCAGGCATTGTTTGTTTTTCATCAAAATATGGCGGGCTGTACAAACCCTTTTCGTACATCTGTAGAGTAAACTGTTCCAATTCTTCTTCTGTTAGCATTCTAAATTAATGTTGGAAAAAATTCGTAAAATTGTTTATGGAAAATTCCGTCATTTTCGAATCTGGATATTTTGATTATTAATTTGCAAATCAAAAAAAAAGTCGCAAAAATGTACCTCCACTTTTGCTCCTGAATTTCTGCATCAAAACCATCTAATTCCTCAAGCGTGAACGGTAAATTCAGTACTGCTTTACTTGTGGATGGCTTTATAGCCAATTTTTTACCACCTTTCGCGTTTTTCTAGAAATATAATTTTAATATCTTAGAATCGATAAAGATGTTCGGGAAACTCATAGTAATAGTGAAAAAAAGCAAAATGAAAAGAAGTAGAAAACGATTGAAAATCCTTTTACTTGTTTATCATGATGAATTTCTTCATGTTTATCCATTTCCGCAACTTGTTCGCTTTTTATTTTATTCAATTTCTTTTCCATAATCTCTTTATGACGAATTTTTATATGCGCTTTAGCCATAAAAACATACAAATATTGGAGAAGATTTTCCCAATATGCGATATCAACACCTTGTTGGCCCCCATAAATTTTTCGTTTAATTTGAGTTTCCAGCGTTGACAGTTCAGCAAGTTTCTTATCCTGATTTGCTCAAGATAATATTCATAAAACCTTTATCCAAAAATTGGAATATAGTAAAGAATAAAAATAAATAAAATAAAAATTGAAAATATAATTCACAAAAAGATGTGCATATTTGAAAACAAGTAGTAAAAGCAGAATTTTGGGAAGGAAAAAGTAGAAGAAAGCACAAATATTGGTAGATGTAAAACTAAAAAATTAATAATATATAAAATTTGAGCAATAATTTTCCAAATAAAAAATGAGACGTAATAGAAAAAAGCAAAAGTAGTTGATGAAAGATGAAAGATAACACTGGAAATCATTCAACAGAAAAGGTAGAAAATAGAAAAAGTAAAAAAGAATACCTTGAAAATTTTAATAACATCTTTTTGGACTGAATTATGAACAGATTCCCTAGAATTCGTTGTTCTGACATCATCGACTAACTTCTTCAATTCATCGTTAACAATCGTATATATATCAGTCCACCATGAAGCATTTTTTTCAGGATCTATTCGGCGATATACCTGGAAGTATGGCCAAGTGGAGTATCGCAAAGAGCTAGTCATATATTGATTTCTTTGTCTATATAAAGCAAATTTTCCAAATAAATTTTTTGAGAATATGTACTACATCTACGCAATATCGAAAAAGGAAAAAAAACGATAAATATAAATATATTCAAATAAGATATTAAAAAAATAAACTTTTATATCTTCAAGAAGATCCTCATAATCACGGATTTTCAACCCTTTCACCAAACTTAAGGGATCTTTCAGATCGTAATTTGTATCCTCATCTTCAGCCTCTGCGGAACTATCTTGTGCTATATATCTGTATGTATATACATAAAATAGGTAGGTATCATATGACCATAAAAATCTGTTTGTATTTTTTGATTCATTAACAATAAAAAAATAAAAACATAAATAAAGACTATACAGAGAAACAAGTTCTCCCGAGAGTGAAAACGAGATAAAAATATTTTCTTATTTTGAAAAAAAACTCACAAATAGCATAAAAACAGGTCAAAAATAAAAAGAAACCAGTATCTGACGAAAAAATTTGAAGATTTGACAAAAATATTATTAATAAAAAATATAAAAACTCTCGTACCTGGCTAGGAAATCTATTGGCTTCCCACGACCTTCTTTAAAACGAATTTGAGAACGCAGCCTTGCCTGTTTCAAATGAAACTCTCCTTCAACATCTTCCCAGTTTGAATACATTCTCTTTTCTTCATCTCTTTTTATCATTTCCAAATCTTCTTTCGCACTTTCTCTAGCTTCACGATTTCTTTTTAATTCCTCTACTTCCACTAAATTTTTTCGCGCTCGTTCTCGATTCCTTCAAAAAGAATATGAAACAAATTATCTAATTTCAATTAAAAATTGAAAATTTTAAAAATCGAAAACGTGAACAACATCTTGATTATTTCACTCATCGATAAATGATCAAGTCCTTCAGCAGACAACTTTTTATGCCATACAAAAGTGGATGTCAAGTTTGGATCATTAAAAGGATTATTGTTATTTGTATATTTCACTTCTTGCGGTAAAGTGCTTTCTTCCATCATTCGTTTTTCTTCCTGAAAAATCATATAAAACTTCTAGAAATGAAAGAAATGAAAATATAAAAATAAAGTAATAATAATTTCCATTATAATATCCATTACACTGTTTAAAATTTGAAAAATGAGAAAAGAATGAAAATAACTTTTCGCTTTTTTTTTGCCAATCGCCTGGCTCTTTTTTCTTCAAGTGTTTCCATCTCTTTCAATCGCTTTTTTTCCATTTTTTTCCTTTCATATTCTTTTTTCCGAAGAATTTTCAATTTTTTATCAATATTCTGAAAACTGCCTAAATTCGATAAATCGATCTAGCCGTGTTAAATTTTATACTAAATATTACCAAACGAAAAGTGCCGTTTCAAAAATACCGCATAATCAAGTTAATCAAGCAATCGAATCAAACGAAATGAAATCAATTTAAAGATTTGGCATTATCTATCCGATATAAAACTCCAAAATCTCTGCATTTTTTTGCATCATCACTTTACTATCAATTCAGCAACAAATAAGCCTACAGCCATGTGTCGGACAACCGATAAACCGATAAATAAAAAAAGGCTCGGCAAAGCAATCAAATACAAAGATAAATTAAAAAAAGGAAATAAATTAAATCAATCAAAAGACATCAAATTTTAAGCATAGAATTTTACGATAAAAAAATGGAATAAATAATTACAGCGGATGATGAGGAAGAATTGGACTGTAAGGAATATGATGATAATGACGAAGTTCGTTTTCGCCTTTTTCGATCTTTTTTAGACGAATTTCTTTTTTTCGAATGTCGGTCCTTTCCGTCGATATTTCGTTCATCTTTATAACCCATTTTTCTAGAAAACTTCGTAACTTTATGTCCATCATTTTCAAAATGAAAAATACATAAAAAAAGAAACTGGATAAGAAATGACTGTCTAATCATTATCATTTAACGGCATTTACTATTTTTGAAATGGCTATAGGTTGGTTCATACCATCTGATTTTAATTACAGGGATTTATTTCCTAGATTTATTTTCCTTAGCATCGGCAAGAGATAAGAATCGAATAGATGTTTGGCCTTAGTTGAAACAAAACACGATCCAACCAACCTACTTCCTAACAAAATTATAAGTTACAATGTTCCTTGTAACGCAAATATAAAATAAAGGTGCTAATCGAATTACCGTACTAGTGCATTCATTCCAAGACCTCAATTATCTATTATAGCTCAATTCTAAAGTTCAATTCCACACTCCTTTGGTAAACAAGGGCCCATTTCACTTGAAAGATATTTTGATGGACTTTAATCTATAGAATAATAATACTTTTTGGAAACATATTTTGGTGAATACTTGATTCGAGAACAGTAAGTGAACATTTCAAACCGAATTATCACCTCAGTGAAATGGACATCAGTGATAGCTCTGAAACGACAAATGAATGCTGATCCTGACTTAAGAAATATCGGCGAACGTCAGCCATTTCCACACTAGGATATGCTGGCAGGAAATGCGCTAATTGGATATCAATTGTCCAGTTGTCTAAAAAGGCTGCCAAGCACGAAGACTGACTATTGGATTCTTAGAAGAATTGCAACAACTGCAGCACGGAGGAAGAAATCGCTACTGGAGCGATATGGCCTTGAGAATGGAGATAGAGGCTCGATTAGGCGATAATAGGAAACTACTTCGAAACTATTTCTTCATAAAACATCTATAACTGGAAGAACGACCAGTGAAATGATACGGTATATGGTGTGCTTATTAAGAGCATTAAGGATCGCCTCGTAAGATGGAATGAATTTTTGAGGCCAAACTACGAAACGCCATCATTTGCTCTGTATATAGCTGATTCCCTCATCGAATCATAAGCAATTACGAACCGCCAACAGCAAAAAAAATTTCTCTCATCAAAATTAAGGACAATAAATGGAGAAGATGGTCTTCGGACTAGATTCTTCAATTATTGTCCACCGTTCTTCATATCATATTTTCAATGTAGTGTATAGTATAGAAGAATAAAATAATACCAGATGACTGGAGAAAAGCAATCTTGCACCCAGTTCCTAAGAAAAGTAACAAGACATACTGTGACAATTATCGGGCCTCTTAGAAATTTCCTGGGAAACTTTTGCTTCTCTCCTGCTGAATAGACTTATGGCAGTAGGAGACAAAAATATATTCCAAGCTGGATTGAGATCGAAACACGGTTGTGCAGACCAGATATTTACGCTAAGAAAGATGTTGAAACACCGTTTTAAATATCAGTTACCTACAGTTTCATTGATTTTGCTGCTTTCGATTCAGTTGGTAGAGCAGCGCTTTGGACGGTGATGGAACATAACAGCGTTCCAGAGAAAATCATTAGACTCATAAAAGCTTTTTATGAGCGCAGGTCGGCGCATTTCCTACCAGCATATCATAGTGTGGAAATGCTTGACGTTCGCCGATATTTCTTAAGTCGGGATCAGCATTCATTTGTCGTTTCAGAGTTGTCACTGATGTCCATTTTACTGGGGTGATAATTCGGTTTGAAATCATTTACTGTTCTCGAATCAAGTATTCACCAAAATATGTATCCAAAAAGTATTATTAGCCTATAGATTAAAGTCTATGGGGAACTGACAGACTCCTTCGAAATAAAAAACTGATATCTGTCAGGGCTGCGTCCTTCCCCCTACAATATTCAACTATGCGATAGACTGTGTAATGGACATCGCTTGTCAGCACTCAAGTAGTGTACAAATTAGTCCAGAGCATAGCGAAAAATCTTGAATACGCTGATGATGCAGTCCTTTTTGTTGGTAGTAATGACGAAATGAAAATGCTAAAGAATATGACGACAACTGCAACGAGAATCAAAATGCTACTCTTACTCTTTACTCTTACTCTTACTTACTCTTACTCTTACTCTTCCATGCTATTTTCAATTTTTTTTCAGTCTGTCGATTTATTCGGTTATTGCATTAGTTTAGTGGTACTGCTACTCACTCTTAAATAGGCGAATATATATTTTTAATTTTTATTATTCCAGCAATTTTGCTTTCTCACTCCAAAGGATTGAACTATGCCTTTTAACAGTGCCAATATAGATAACCATATATGCCGTGTTGACCAGGTTGTTCACCTAGCTTATATCTTCAATACTCACTATTCACTGATATCTTTAAAACCGATGAAATCTATGGACTGGATATATATATATATATATATATATTGAACTGGACAAATCTGTGATATTAATCTCTGATATTATTTATTATTTCTACTTTTTGAATAAAAATTAGTATAACATATATGCTTTCAGAAATTTTGCAATTTTATGATTTTGTAGATTTTTTTCTAATTTTTTCTAATTATAATAAGCAATAAGAAGGGTGACAGGAAATACTACGACAACTGTCGAGGAATCATTAGGCATCTCCTGAAAAATTTTTGCATGCTTCCTACTGAATACACTTACGACAGCGCGAGATAGCAGGATATGCCCTAAGCCGAGTTCGGGCTGGACCGCAATTATGCTGACTAGATATTCACGCTAAGAAAGGAAAATCGCTTCAAACATTGGCAATCCACAATCACTTATTTATCGACAACTGCCTTCGATTCAGTTGACAGGACAGTGCTTTGGAAAGTGATGGAAGGTGATGGTGTTCCGGAGATCAATCGATCGACTTATCAAGGCATTTTATCAATGTAAATCGGCATAGTTTTGTGCATATGGAAACTGACAGACTCCTACAAAATAAGAACTGGTGTTCGTCAAGAATGCTCTTTTCCCCTATGAATATTTACTATGCTGGATTGATAGACTCGATAATAGATATCACTCGTTGATACTCAAGAGCTATGACCAGTCCAGAGTATATTACCGCAGACCTTGAATACCCTGATGATGTAGTCCTTTTTGTTGACAGTTATGATGAAATGCAAATAATGCTAAATAATGTGTTGGTATTAACAAGAATCAGACTCACGATCAACAAAATAACACGGAAGTTTTGTCATCTTATAAAATTCGTCTTATAAAATACCTATCTTTATCAATTCATCGCTGACTGAGGAAATTTCAGACTTTAAATATCTCGCATCCACTCTAATCCCAAATAAAGAAAGGCGAAATTATAACTCTGATAATGATAGCTAGAAATGCGATCTTCCGACGAAACCTTTACGAAGTCGTCGCAAAATTACTATAAAAAGAAAATCCACACCCATATAGCTACAGTTCGCTCGATTTTTCTATATGATTCTGCGAGACGTAGCTAATGAGCTATTTGATAAAGGATATTAAGAAATTATAAGTCTTTCTTTGACCACTCATGCCTAAGATTTATCTTATGGGTTCGCCGAGTGGATAAAATCTCATATGACTGTACCCACCTCCGCTAAAATACCACTTGTATTAACAGTACCATCACAGAACGCCATCTTCGCTGGTTAGGGCATGCTCTTCGTCGCTCATCACAGCAGTTGAATTATATTTTCTCACATGATGGATGGTGTCAAAAGCGAAGAGGGCCAATCAAGACCTCGAATGATACGGTCAGAAAAGATTTTTGAACGTAGGACATGCTTGGATGATGGAGAAAGAGATGGCTTATTTACTATCGACGATGGCGTCAAATCGAACAGCTTGGAGTCTTACCCTTATAGTCTGCGGAACTAGCCTAACCAGTAATGGTGAGAGCTGTTAGAAAAAGAATACTTGATTGCCATAGCATAAATTAGGCAATTGGGTGGATGCATTTTATCTTTTAAAGCGAATTCTAATTTCTTTATTTTAACGACGATAATTTAATGATGATTTTCTTGGATGATTCTTCGGTATCGCTGCTGATAATCATTGCTATTGAACTGCCGAATTTACCAACTAATTAAATTGTTGTATTAAATTCACCATTCATTGAATCCTGAAAATGAAATAATTAGCGCCGAATTAAATCGCTGGAAATAAAAAAATAGCAAATAATATCTTGATTAGCTGCATTAAACTTTTTCTCAAAATGTTCCTACATCGGAAAAATCTGATGAAAAATCCTTCAATTCGGAAATGCTCCACTCTAATAACCCCATTGGCTTAGCCAGTAACCGAGTCAGTGTAATGTTTTTAAAATAATTAGCTAAATTCACATCATTATTTTTACTCCAGAATAAAGTAGATTACCGAAATAACTTTTAGTTATTTTTACACTAATTCTAATTTTTTATTTCCACTAATTCTTTTATGGGGCAAAACTATATTTTGAAACGAATCAACTTGATGGAATCAAATTCTTATGAAATTTTCGAAAATGAAAAACAATTAGCGAGAAAACAATGAAACGAATTTTCGTCAAAATAATAGGCAGTACAAAGTGACTTGTTGTCGCTGTCGCTAACCGGATCCTCAACTCATATTGGTTAACATCTACTGGTTAGCGCTTACAGAGACAACCTTGTCGTGCACATTCTAAACCCTTTATAAGGAAAATAAATTCATTTAACAAATCAGTTGTAAAATTTTATAGATTACAACCATGCGACTGGTCTTCACTGCAGTTGTTGCGCTGTGCATAATAATTTTTGCAGTAAATGCTTCTTTGTTTGCGTAAGTCACATTTCGATGTTTTTTTCGTTACCTGTCTCACTCGCTCCGTGTGGCTAAATTATCCGAAGTTGTCAGACTTACGAGCCAATTTTTACTAGTGGCAAATATGAAAAAAGGATAAAGATTTATCCTTATACTTATGCAATATTATTTACTTCTGTGGATCTAAATTTGTGAATCAATAATTAATCTTTTCTATATGGCAGCGCTGGAAGTAATGGATTGAAAATGCAGGAATCCACTCGCAAGGCTAAAATAATGCCTCACTGCCTAATTTAGTTTTTGCTCCATCACTATGCTAAATACCTCATTAGTTTAACGGTTTTTTAACTAATAGTTATTGCTGCATTAATACTTCAATCAAAAGTAACGAAAGCATGTTGCAGGAATGAAGAGGAACTTCATAGATTTAAACGTTTCTTCAGAAAGACCACCACGGTAGTTGGCCCTCGCGGAACACAGACCACTTCAGTTAGCAAGTATCCAGGTGGAACCACGGTGGTGCGGAAAAAGACGTATACGGGATAGCATTGCTTCAAGACTAAATGATTTACTCAATTAAATGCAAATGCGCGTTGTAGTACCATTGAAATTCGAAATAAAGAAAGTATCCGTTTGCTGCATTTGCGTTTGAAAATTCGAAGTGTCATAGGCTTTTCCTTTGCGAAAAATTCAAAATTCTTGCGAAGGGTTGGAGAAGCGAATTTGCGACTCAAAAAATGTCTCTCTTATCACAACAAACGCACGCAAAATTTCTCTTTCTAAAATAAAATTTAAACTTAAAAAGTGAGAAATCGGAAGTTGCGGAATTTCGTTTAGTTTTTCTAGCGAAACGCTTTTCACAAATAAAATTTGCTAATTCGATTAAGAAAAATGCAAAGTTTCATTCGTTAAAAGCAAGCAAATTTAAATTCGAAAAAGGAATTTTATTTATTACAAATTCAATTGAAAAATTTTATCGCAAAGAATAGTGGAAAATAATTGACATTTATTGGCGAAAAACGAAAGGAAAATTACGCAGCAACGACCGATTTTTGGTGCAACAAAAATAAGGCAATTTTTGGAAAAATTTCGACAATTCCTTTCTTTCATAAATGAATTTTAATTCGTTTGAAAAAAACTTCCCAATCTTAATTAATGAAGTGATTAACCTGGAAAAAGTTCTGTAAGGTTTTATTAAAGACTGAAATCGCCGTCTTAGAGAAAAGCAGCAACTGCGCATCTGCGTCGAGCGAGCGAACAACTGATAGATGAATAATCTGTGTTCGTTATCAATCGCACGGAAATAGTTTCACTTTCTGCATTTCCTGATAATCGCCCTTGAAATTCGGACTTTCATGAGACCTTATTGCGCAAAAAAACAACCAAACCCAAGGCACTGCAAATTTTATTGCGGGAAACGAGAATTCCCCTACTCAAACGCAAAACCTTGTAAATAACTTGTCACCAAAATGGTGCGATACTTATATACCGTAAACCTATAAACAAATCTGCGCTGTGTTAATCATCGGTCGCGGATTCTGCTGTTGGACAAAATTCACTTCTTTTACTACATAGCGCATTTCTTAACAAATACCAATCTCATTGGCTGGAATGTGTGTTCTTTCTATTATGGGCCATGAATATGGCTTGGCATCAATGAAAGCCCTAAGCATTCGAGAAATGTCCGAAGGAATCGGCGCTTTGTGAGGAGCTCAGTGATTTGTGTGCGAATAGCACCTCGTTGATTCGTTGCTAATTAGCGCTCTCTAAAGTGGATTATTCTTGTGCCGCCCAAGGCTTCCGAATCTCCATCCCCTTTCTTCGCGGACCTACGCGATTTCCGTTCAGATGGCGCCATTAAGTCCGAGAAGCCCGTGCGACTTCCCTTCAGGTGCTCTCGCAGCACTGCAGTTATGTTTTATTGCTCTCGTATGAGCGGACTGAACTCGCCTTTTCCTCTTTATTCTTACACTGTCTCACTTTTTTCCTTCACCTAATTACACGCCTTTTGTGATTGATTATTGATTAAACAGTACGAAGGTGGCGGCGATGAATATTTTGAATAATTCTGAACTGTAGTTCCTTCAGATGAGTCAAAACGTTTATTCTATCGGCAATTTAATGATTCGCGAAGGTCATAGGGCATCGATCGAAGGAAAGAATGGTTCATTGAAGTTGCAAATTGGTTGCTCAATTCATGAAAAAGAAATCAGTCGACATATGCAGTCGAGAACAAATCTTTGCTTATATTTTAAAGAAGGTTCGTTTCTGTCGATTAATTATTTTAATGAAAATGAGCTTTTTGATTTGTATGAATTCAACTGGACGGCAGCTGAAGATAAACATTATATGAAAGATATTGTGGATATTGAATCTGGCGGATATTGGTTTGGTGGACCAATTATTGCACAGCAGAAATGGCCTATCTCCCATAATTCACATCATTTTGCGCCATATTTGCCACGAGATTTTTTAAAAGTAATTATTTTTCGGATGCTTTCTCTTTATCTGCTAATTGGTATGAAATTAGCCCTGTTCCGCTATATGTCTGGTCCATAATTTTTCACATTTTGGCATTTTTCATATTTTTTCGCAGTGCTATTTTTTGACGAATGGTCGAATAAAGTTTTATGTAAATTAACATATTCATAATTCGCAAATATCAAAATAAACAATGTAAATGCAGTTTTTTATTTTAATTTATATAATTTATATAAATATACTTCAGATTAGAATATTTAGAATATTTCTTGTTTCTGTTCTCGGAGTAATCCTGTGAGAAAAATGACCTGTTACAAATTAAGTAGAAGGCAGTTAATGATGATGAAAATTTTAGGAAGGGGAATTTCCTTGTTCTGGAATGGAACGCTACTGGTTATGTTCGAATAAGTTTGCTATATTCGTACCAAGTGAAATTCCTTTATGGACCGAATTTCAAGAGAATCGATTTTCACTTCAAGCTCAAATTCAAGATTCTCCTTTTATTAGCTTTCATGTTAGCTTTTTAAATGGGAATAACCATTTAGGAAAGTCAATTTCCAGTTCAATTTTTATTAAAAATTAAGTTCATTCTCAGATTTTAATCAAAAATTTTAGCAATCAGTTGGTGCTCCAAAATTAATTTATTCGATTTTTGCTTGTAAATTTACAAAAAACTGTTCGCTGAAGGATTTTCATATCGTTGTTCATAGAAAACTTTACAAAAGATCCATTCAATGTCCGAATGAAGAATTGATAAAAAGACCAATATGGACCACATGGGCGAAGTTATATTTGAAATTTTTTAAAGTTTTTTAGAAAATTTTGAATTTTTATTATTTTTCTCCGAAAGGAATTTCTTATCGAATAAACTAGTAAATTTACTGAAAATTTTTTTCTGCTTTTTTCTATAATTCCGTTTTTATCACTGTCTTGTTTATTGTTTTCGATGTTTGATTGATCATTTTTTAAATTTTTTTTCGAAATTAATTCATCAAATAATAGATATTTGGAAAGGCGTACTAGATGATTTTTACTATTACAATTTCAGATATAAAACAACAGCGACGCAAGCGATTGTTGAAGAATTCGTTGATGAAATAATTAGTTATGGTGCACCGATTTCGCAGCTAGAATTAGACGATTGTTGGGAAACAAATTATGGAGATTTTAAGGTTTGTTATTTCTTTTATTTTAATTTTTGCAGCGAAATGATTGAAATTTCTGGACGAACTCAGAGTTAAAAAATTTTAGGAGTTAAAAAAAATAATGGTTGTATTAAGATAAGTAGTACGACTTTTTAGTTTGATGTTGCGAAATATCCGGATATTACTCAATTATGTGATAAACTAAAGAGCAATGGAATAAAAGTTTCTCTTTGGATTCACCCTTTTCTCAATGTTAACTGCGAAAATGCCAATGATAATTATGTAAGAAAATTTCTGATTACAAATCCCCGTGGTGATCCAGAATTGATAGAATGGTGGAATGGTAGTGCCTACATAATCGACTTCACAAATCCTGAAGGATCTGAATGGTTCATTAAGCAGTTAAAGGCAATCCAGGAGGTTCATTCGCCTCTTTTTTTTTTGAAAACTTCTACTTCTTTCATTTGTTTTAGGAAATAGATTTTATGAAATATTTTGGAGAATATAAATTCAGCACGCTTGAGAAGAATCCTTGTTTTTTAAAATTTTTTCAATATAAAAACGATTGCTTTAGCTGGGCATTCATACTTTTAAATTTGACGCTGGTGAAGTCAGTTATCTTCCTACAAATTTTTGTCTTTTTTCTGGCACATCTCCTCTTGATTTTGTAAAAGCTTATGTTGAAACTGCTTCACAGTTCGGCGATGCTATTGAAGTAAGAATCAAATTAATTGTTTGGTTTTGTCAAAATGATACATTAGTATTCTTGATGCATTAGTATTAAGTCTTCAATTTTTATCCTACGCATATTCTGAAAATTATGAAACATATAAGTCATCTTTCAAAGAAAAAATAGTCAGAGTTCCTTCTTTGAATTTGAGATTTTAGGTTCGAGTCTGCAGTCACTGTCAATCATTGCCAGTACTTATTCGTACCATCGACCGTCTATCAACTTGGTTTTTTCTAATCGATATATCTTTTATTGTTCAAATATTTACTGATATATCAATAGAAAGATTGTAATTTTCTCGACAATCTTTATATTAATTTCAGGTATGATATGGGCCTAAATACATTAATACCAATTGCATTAAATTTTTCCATTCATGGATATAATCACAATTTACCAGATATAATTGGTGGTAATTATTATTCAGATGTGATGTGCGACAAAGAATTGTACATTCGCTGGATGCAAGTTAGTAAAATTAGTTAAATCTTTAGTTCTGTTTCTTTTTTGATTTAAAGATTTATTTATTATTTATTAATTTTTATATATTATTTATCTTATTTATTTGTTTTTCCATTAGTAAATTAAATCTGCATACTAGAAATACTGAGGAAAATAACTGTCAAATTTGCATAAAACATTGTTCATAAAATTTTGCAAATGGCTTCTTTTTTGTTATTTCTTTGTTTCTGAACAAAATACTATAAAATGGATAAATTATGATAAATTATTTGCTGAGTTAATTTTATTTCATCGATCTGTTTTTCAGGCAAATCTCTTTCTGGTCGTTCTGCAATTTTCAATTCCACCATGGTACTATGATGATGAAACTGTTAATCATTTCAAACAATTGTTGGTACAGCGATCAATTGTAATGCCTCATTTGATTGAAGCTTGCAGAAAAAATTGTAAGAATGGCGAACCTATTATATGGTGTATATTATTAAAGTATTTTGCCCTTTTTTATTAGTTTTTTCATGACAATAATTATGATTTTTTAAAGCCATGATTTCTATTTTATCTGAAATTTCTACATATTTCTTTTTTCGAATTATTTTTTAAAATCGTTTATATTTTTTATTTTTATTATTAAGAATTAAATTTTTAAATTTTTTTCTTAAAAATGGAGAATTAAATATTGCAGTCCTTTGTGGTGGTTCTCAGAAACTGTTGATGCGTTAAAATGCAGTGATCAGTTCCTTATAAATAATCGAATAATGGTAACACCCGTTCTGGAAAAAGGGGCTACTAGTCGATCTGTTTATATACCTAAAGGCGCTTGGAAATATCACGCCAATAATATCATTTACGAGGGTATTTCTAATATTCATATTGAGGTAAAAGCTAAATACTATTTATTATCCTAGAATATCGTAAATTCAAGTGTATATTTTCTGTATTAAAATTTTTCCATTTAATTAATATTTATCTCTCATATTAAATTTAGTTAAAGCTATTAATATAATTATAGTTAAATTAATAAAATTTATTTTTCCCTTAAAAATAACAAAATATTCTTGATATTTTTATATAATGTCTTAGCTTTGCAGTTTTTTGTTTTCGGTACCTCTTTTATCTCCTGTTCCTGTTTTCGAACTGGTTGAAAATCGATGAAAAATAAAATGGTATCTGTTTATAATTAGAGAAATGCTTCACGTTTGGAACGTATGGAATGAATTTAGCATGAAATCTGTTAAAATAGAAATTAAAGGTAAATTGTATTGCTAATAAGTTTTTTTTCTCTTTATAACTGTTGATATGGTTAGACTGGTTTCATTTATCTTCTTTTTCCATACATTTAACTCTACATATCGAGACTGTAGGTTAGACTGCCTTTAGGTCCAAAATTTTTCCTAACCATCATTTTAGACCTTCTTATAACTGCTCTAACCATTACTGATTAGGCTGGCTCCAATGGCTACAAGAGTAAGATATCTCTAAACTATTGGGTCCGACACCATCGCTAGTAGTAATAGAAGCCATTCCTTTTTCCATCGTCTAGGTATATCGCTGGTTCCTCTGTACGTTTAAAATTTTTCCTGATTATGTCAGTCCAGGTCTTTATTCGCCCTCTATGCTTTTGGCGCCATCCATCACAAAGTTGAGTTAATAACGAAATAGTAAGGAAATACATGTTAAATGCCGTGGGCGACAATGAACGTGTCCTAACCAGCGAAGGCGGTCTTCTGTGATGGTGATACAAATAGTATTTTAGCGAAAGTGGCTGCAATCATGTGCGATTTTATCTGCTCCCGGAACCCATAAAATATATTTTAGACGTGAGTGGTCAAAGACAGATAACTTTCTAATATTCTTTTTAAGTTATATAGCCGAGGACTCGTTTTTATGGTAATTTTGCGATGGTTCCATAAAAGCTTTTCGTCTTTCACTTGATTATTTAGTTGGATTCAAGATATTTATTTTATTTTATTTTTATTTATTGATAACCAACCAAGCAGGGCGACAAGGCCATGTGCTTGTATTAATAATAACAATTAAGATAACAGAAAAAGAAAACACAAAACAAAAAAAAAAAAAATATAACATAAACAAAATTAATTATAAAACAATATGACAGAAATTAACAATTTAAAGAGGAAATTACAGATCAATATAATATAGTACAATTCGAGGTAACATATATAACCTGAAGATAAAATCGAGATTTCTCACTTCCTGCAGTTCTTGCCTGGTGTAAACTCTTCTCTTTTTTTTTTTTTGTTTTTAAATAATATCGTAAATGATATTATCTAGTCTTTTTTTAAAGACAGCTAGGGATGACGCACAAGCTACATCGTTCGGTAATTTGTTCCAGTAGTTAATAGTACGAATAAAGAAGTCATGAATCCTTAGTTTAGTTTTGCATATAGGTTTTAGTAATTTTAAGCCATTAGTTCTTGTTGGATTCAAATTTAGTCTAAAGTTA